AGGTGCTAAAGGCATAAACCTGGTAGTTCTTGTGACCAGTGTGTGTTGTATGGGAGAAAAGAAACAGGCAGTGCTTGGGATGAGAGGCCTTCTATTTCTCAGCATGCACTCAGGTGGATGTTGTAATTTCTGTGCTCTGTAGATTGAAAGAGCAGCAGGTTGCACACACATCCAAAGAAAACTATTTTCTTTGAGAGTAACTGGTAGGTATCTAGAGAGCTTGTTTATGGTCCAAGCTGCTCCTTGCTATGTTTATATATGGTTACAATGGTTATAATGTTCCACTGTCAGCTGATGACAGCAGCACTGTCAGCTTATGTGAAGCTCTTCCTCTTCTGAAAAGCCTGTAAGCTTCAAGGCAATCGCAAGAATGTAGCGCTGTGAACTGCTGTAGCACTGTGAACTGCTGCATTTGTCCTGCAGAACAGAAGAGAGCAGTGAGCAAAAGCAGTGAAGCAAAGACCTAAAGCAACCGCCGGGGAGTGCATCGCCACCATGGCCATTACCATCACTATCATCATCATCATCACCATCATCACCATTTACCTTTCCTACTGCAAAAGCAAATTGTCTCCAGAGGGAGTGAGGAGCCAGCAGTGGTTCCTAGATCCAGAGTGCTGATGTGAACCCAGAGTGCTGGGTGGCAGCAAATATCCCCATTAGTCACAGGGAGATACACAGGACATGGCCAGCAAGTGCTGACAGCATGTACCTGTCCATATTTTTGGGACTAAAAGGTGTTGAAAGGTGGACTTTTCTGTAACTGCAGGGTTAAGCGGAACCTACATTTCCAAATCAGCCAAAGCAAAGTAGCCCCAGCAATAAGAAACATGCCTGGGTTTTTGTTCTGCAGAACAAGCCACTCACTACTGCCTACCATCAGAGGGGTTCAAAAGTGCATTTACTTACTCTGAACAGTCTTAATATGTATTTCTTTAATAGACTATCTACCTGCACTTCCCTGTGAAGATTTTGGGAAAAATATCTGAAGCCATAACCTTTGCTCGAGTCAAGTAAAGGCACATTTTGACATAAGAAATGAAATGCAATCCTCAGTGAGACTAGTACAAATTATCGTTAGTCAAGAATATAATCTTTTGGGGGCTTCTTTTGGTAATCTTTTAGAGATTTCTGTAGCTCACCCTTGGGATTTGACTTGCAAGGCCAATCATCCCTGATGGTCAGCAAAGCAGCTGCAGACACCTGCAATCACCTCCTCTTTGCCCTTTGCATTGGGTGCGTCCTCTACTGAGGTCAGCTGCTAAATCCCAGGGGAAAAGTCTCCCTCCTCTTACTTTGTTTCTAGTAGCAGCTCTTTGCTGAGCTTCACAGCACTGAGTCTTCTTTGGAAATATGCATGTGGAATTAATGAAAACAGGACTGAAAGGGTCTGAGTGTGATCAAACTGGATGGCATGGGGCACCTGTGGCCGCATCCTGCACTTGCCATAATCTGAGGCCTGAGGGTAAGAGATGGTATTCTCTCTCATGTGGGTTTTTCTTAGGACGATGTGAGCAACCAAATTCAGCTCTGGGCTTCATTTGACAAACTCTTCCTCATCCTTCCTCCCTCACTTTGCCAGCTAAATTCAGACAAGGCACTCATGCCTAAAAGCTGTCAAAGGAATAACTTACAACTACAGGAGCTTGAAATTCTTGAAGTGTAAAGCTGGCACCCCTGAAGAACTGCAGGGACTATTCAATCCATCTGGTGCTCTCGGCTGCAGAGCAAACAGGCTTTTGACTAGTTCATAACTGTGGCATATGCAAGAGGCTCAATTATTGCTTCTTAAAAAGCCCAAATTATCTCCTGGAGTTGGAGACTGACAGGCACACCGTCTCTGCAGCATTATGCCCGGCTGAATTTTTGCTGGCTTATTCTCTGCTACTCTGCACTGCCTGTAATTGCATTGCATTTTAACTGTTTAGCATCGTCAGAACTCCAGCCCCAGGGGCAGCGGAGGTGGTGAGAGCTCAACACACCAAATTACTATCCAAAGAGCAAGCAGACAAAAAGCAGAGTGGAGAGGGAGGGAGACAGACAAATGAGCCATGTTCATTAGAGAAACAGCAGCCCTGACCGAGGAAGTGTCCTACTGATGTAATGAGAAAGGTGAAAGTTGTTAATAATAAAAAAGAACACAACAACAGAGTTGCCTTTCTATCAGAAAGCCACAAATCTAGAGAAAATAAATGCACAGTGGAAAGCAGAGATGAAAACTAGCAAAATGCTCTTTGCCCACATAGCTCTTTCTTCCCTACCAGTTTTATTTAGTAGTTTTTTTGGTTTGTTTTTTTTTTTTGTGGGAGTGAGTTCTGTAGTTGTGCTATTTAGTGCTGTTCCCTTGTGTGCTGTGATGTGGCCCTGTCAGATGGAAATTAAGCACCATGCAGCCGCTTGCTCAGTTCCTCCCCTCTCCTCCCTCTCCCCCACACCCCTGGTGGAATGGGGAGGAGAATTGAAAAAAACTTGTATGTTGAGATAAGAACAGTTTAATAATTGAAAATATAATAATAATAATGGTAAATAATAATAAGGATATTTTAAAAAACCAAACAAGTAGTGCACAATACCATTGCTCATTGTCCGCTGACTGACGCCAGACTCTCCGAACACAGCTCAGTCCCCCTTCTGGGTAACTGCTCCTGGTTTATATACCAGGCATGATGTTCTATGGTGTGGAATATCCCTTTGGTCAGTTCAGGTGGCCTGTCCCAGCTATGCTCCCTCCCACTGGCAGAGCATGAGACAAGGGGAAGAAAACTGCCCTTGAGTTAGGATAAGCAAGACTTAGCAAAAACCAAGTGTGTTCTCAATGGCATTCTCATTTTGAATTCAAAACACAGCACTGTAACAGCTACTGAGAAGAAATTAACTCCACCCTAGCTAAAACCAGGATAGGCCCCAAAAGCCGGCATCTCTGCTGCAGAAGCCCTGCCATGTGAGGCAGTGAGACACACTTTTCCACAGGCAAGTTTCTGTTTCACCTTTGGCCAGCCAGAGGTCCTGATTGCTGATTCTTTCTTTTCCCCAAAAGATGCTGCAGGTTCAAACCCCTGGGGCAGGTTTTGAAGGACAGGACCATTTGAAGTCTGTCCCACAGCACAGGGAACAACAGCAGTGGTGGAGCAAAGGCAGAAACCAAGGGAGTGGGATGGGTGTGACACAACCCCCCAAGTTTGCACGAGCTGTGCAGAAAGTGCATTTGGTTTTTTTTTTTCTCCTCTGGAAGGTCTTCCTGTGGGGACAAAAAGGAGAGGATAAAAAGTCTGGATCATGTGCTGCTGACGAAAAAAATGAATTCTGCCACCCGTGAGAGTGTGGAAGTGCATCAGAGCTTGTGATGGGGCTGCCCTGCTTAGGCACCTCAGTAGCTTTTACCTCAAGTAACTGCCTAAACTCTATGCAGCAAAGCCTTAAATTACAGGAGGCTGTTGCAGGGAACAGGCCCAGCACAATGCAGCAGCCACAATGTGACAGTCAGAGAATGAAAGGTTCCTTGTGAGTCTTTGTCCTGCCTACCTGCAAAGCCATGGGAGAACAAGAGTGACTTGGGTTGGAAGGGACCTTCAAAGGTCTAGTCCAATCCTCTAGATGAAGGCAAACAGACAGGCATGTCAGCAGGCATAGCCAACACTGGCAGCAATAGATGCTTGTGGTAGCAGAGGTTTCTGTCCCTGTTGCAGGGTAGCCCAATAGGGAAGTGCCTCTGCTGTGGCTCTTCACCCAGGGGAATGTGCAGGGTGGATATGAGGGAGTTGAGAAGATCCTTCAACTGTCTGTGCTGAATATTTTGAGGGTATTGACATTTCACATCAGCTGTATTCACCAGGGTTAATTAAAGCCTGTGTTTTATAGATTGCCCTTGTCCATAAACGGAAAAGCTGCCTCAATTGGAAATCAATAAAGTAATCTTTAAGTTCTTTTATTTTATTAGATATAGAGTCCTAATTTGAATAAATTGAGGAGCCATAATTAATGGTGCCAGAGAGGTCCTGAGATGTAAGTTTAAAGCTTCCTGAGGAGTGTGCTTTGCTGCAGGCAGTGTGCTGGAGGGGCCCAGCACAACCAGGGTGTAGCATTGAAGCCAGGGATGCTCCGCTGAGCAAGTTCCTAGGAGTGCTCTGGTGCTGCAGAAATCCAACAGCAATTCAATAGCCAGCACCCTGTACTGACCTCTTGCCCAAAAAATTGAAGGGAAGGCTGTGAATGGCAGTATTGTCACCACAGGGAACAGCAGGAAAGCCAGATCCTGGGGTCAGCAGAGGGCTGCTGGCAGCTGAAGAGTCCCAGAGATGCTCTGGGATAGCCTCCCTGTTCCGAGCCAGTGAGACTGATGTGCTTTATGCCTCTCTCTGCTGTGCACAGGTGTGAAGTTAAATGGTTCACTCCTCTTCAATGGGTTGGAGTCATTCCAAAACCACAAAAACCTTTGGGGGTTTTGGAAAGGGAAGTATCCTGATGGTGCTGCTGCTTCCCCTTCCTCCTGATTCTTAACAAGAATGGAAGGTCATACATTTCCCTTTATGACAAGTTTTGTCATTTCAGGGGTTAAGAGGATCTCAGGTTTGCTTCATTTCTACCCTCCACCAAACTCTCCTCTTCATACACACTCACACAAGCCAGTTCCTTTGAGAGACTTTTCCCAGCCTTCTGATGAGAACTTGGTGCTCTGCCATGCCCCTTATCATGAAAAGTCTGAACACCTTCCAGTTTTGGTGATTTTCACTTTTCCAGTACCAAGATTTGCAGAGAGCCTCGCTCTCTCCCCATCACTGACTGTAATGAGGATGTTTCCACTTGCCACTCCCAGCATGCCTTCTGCAAGGTTTCGTGGTGTCCCTGCCACCATTATGCCCAGATTATCTAATGTCTGCTCTCTAGGCTCATTGTAAAGAGTTCAACTCTGTGCTTTAGGAGTGCAGAATAATGGACAACAGTTGCACTAGGTATGGGTAATGGATTGCATTTCTGCAAAGACAAAAAGAATAGCCACTTAATAAAGATAATAACTTTTAATAGGCAGAAATAATTTTTTTTCTTGACACACTGTGGTAGTTTCTGAACAAATTTTGCACACACACACAAAGTTATATTTCACAATCTTTCTCTGCTTTTTTCTACTGTCCTTTCGCTATGATGCAACATGTTACAAAATATTTTTTTTTTAATCAACATGAAAATCAATCCGCAATGATTGCTCTTATTGAGGAAAACTTCATCAATCAGGAATCTGAATAGCTGCAGATGCCAACTAGCATATTTTAGATGGCCTGACCTTTCCAAAGTAGGTATCCAAGACTTCTCTGCTTCTGAGGAACCCAGGTGATTCAGGAATACCTGAATGAACCACATAAGTTCAGCTGCAGCATGGAGGACACTTGTTTGTTCCCCATCTTTTACAGAGGTTCATCAGATATTTCTCATGGTGCCGCTAAGAAAGAGGATTATTAGACCCACCAAAGTGTAAGAGCAATGGTCAAGCACAGGGAAATGAACCCTTTTGAGATTTGTATATAAACATGAATTAATAATTCTGCTCAATCTCTTACCATACTGGTAGGTAAGTTTTAAAATTTCAGCAAAGGGAATTGGAGAGAGAAGTTTCTCAAAAGCATTGTATCAATAGGTATAAAAACGTAGATCATCATCCTGAATCTTGGTCCTGCCCTTAGGCCACCAGCTGTCTTCTTTCCATTCCCCAGTAAAGCAACGGAAGTTCTTGGGACACTAACAAGAATCGAGGGATTCAAACTGAGCAGATGCTCACAGTAATATAATTTTCAAACATTTATAGTTCTAGAAAAGTAGGATACATGCAGGTATGAGCACTACTTGATATTTTGGAATTGCCAGCTCTGTACAAGTTAAGAGTGTCTTTAATGAGCACTTGAAACACTCCCTAAACTTCCAGAGTTATTCAGTAACCTACAGGAATCCCATACATTACTCAGAACACAGGGAAGAAGGTTCATCTGTAAAATTGCTTGTCTTGCTGATTCCCACAGTGTGCCCCAGGCTATATAGAAGTCATATTTGTAGCACACATAATGCAATTAGCCAAGGAACAGGTGAAAATAAACTCTGTTGCCTGTTACATTACAAGGATCATATTCAGTAATTTACAGAACTTCAAAGAGCCTCAGTGCAAGGTATATTCCCCCCTTAACAGAAAAAAGCACACACTTCAGCATTCCACCCAGGCATCCCACCCTGTAAACATTTATGACAAGCAAAGCATGTGCTACAGTGAGGAGTCTCATGGAAATCACTGAATTAATTTTCATAGTGGCTATTTGCCCAGTACTGTTTCAAGGGTCAGGCCCTGTTTGTATTTTGCTACATACAATTGAAAGAACCCTAGGTACTGTAAGTTCAACAAAGTATGCTGACATATTCCTCCCTGTATGTGCAGAAAACATTTTTAGTAAGTACTATGTAAACCACCTGATTTTTACATTCTCGTCAACCTTGTTTCCCTGCTTTTACTATATGTGAAAATAATAAATACATATGATATACCAGTTATTAAGCCTTCAAAAAAATTACATATTCCAGAAGGGACAGAAGACACTTGAGAAGTCAAGAGCTGGTCATTAACACAAGTGTCCTGTCTGGTAAAAAGCTTCAGCTGGTCCACATTTCCCATGGAACTGCAATTTTGGTGGTATATTCCTGCACATTGTGATAAAACAGGGTGCTTCACATCTGAAATGACAACAGTATCTATACATTATTATTCCAGGTAACATATTTAGAAACATAAGAGTAAGCTAAAATGGAAGGCATGGAATAAATCTGATTTGGGTAGGCAATCAGGATTAAATCCACTGTCCAGGCCACTGTCCTGCCCCCACACAAACAGAACCACCTTTGGGTTTTCAGTAATGTAGGCAAAATTTCATTTTCTTGCTCTAATTGAAGAAACAAGGAGGTTAATTTGTCCTTACTGCTAGCATCGGGAAAGCTCAGTTTCTTCATCCGGGGGGAATAAGAATAGGTCAAAACCATGAAAGACGTTCTTCACATTTCTGGTCAACCAGATATTTCTCAGTGGAGGGTGATGGGATCCATTCTGGAGGGGCTTCATTCTAAAGTGATGGTGGCAGACTGTGCTTTGTCTGAGCCCAACATAGCTGCCTCTGTCTGGTCCATCCCACATATGCTGTGACACTCAGGTCCTCAGGCCATCCTTCTCCTCAACCTCCCTGCCCTACCCGGGCTAAAGGGCCCTTCCCACACCTGCTTCCTTGTCTCACCCTCAGCAAAAGACCCCATTTCACCGCAAGTGATGGAAGCAACTCCATGGGAAGTGGATACTGTGGTGCCTGAGAAAGCTTCATGCATGAAGGAAAATGCAGCACCCACATCACAAACAGTGGGTTTCAGGGGTGCTCTGATGGTCTTCACCCTCTCACACATAAAAATACCATCCAACACCTGCCATGCATGTTAACCACCAAGGATTTCAAGCCATAATAAACCACCTCAATAAAAGTGCTGGCATTTGCATGAAGTGAAAAAGATACAGATTTTTCATGGAAAAAAAAAAGGAGCAAAAAAATTCTGGATAGCAAATACCTTTTTTTTTTTTTTTTTTTAACAGGTAACTGCCTTTAAAAATCTCTTACTTCTCACACAAACAGAAAGAAAATTCACCCAGGGAAGTACACCTAGGAAATGCTGAACAGTTTAAGTCACATGCTCTGCCTATAAAGGTCTATCTCTGAGGTGGCAGCTTCCCCCCTCCACTGGCCTGGCTCTCTGGTCATGATGATATGCTCAAGTCGAGCTTTGTTTAAGCTGTTTTTCCTTGAGGCTGCTACCAACTGAAGTCATAGCTCATTTTATTTTTCATTTTTAACCTTTTTGTTTAGTTACATGGCACATACTGAGACTAAAAAGTATTAGAGAGACTAACAAACACTAACATTAGCGGATGTAAGACTAAGGCTACAAACTTACATATTTATTGCTGAGATGTGAAGAGTTGCCGAGTTTTATTCTTCCCCTGAGATGAGTGCTCTCCTAAGAAACAGAAAATATATTTGTATTAGTTAAACATGTAAAGATAAAAGGACCAATGAGTCTAGCACAAACACATCACTGACCACTAGAGTCTCCTTGTCAGATTTACTTAATCAGCAAAAACTGTCCATGCAATAGGTTTTTATCACTCTTTCTGTTTTATAGCTTATTTCCCCTACTACTACAAAGTATTTCCAAGAGAGTGCTCAAGAGGTTTGAAAATAAAAAAAACTTTAATTAATTTGTAACCATGATTAGAACATTAAATTATAAAAATAAGAAGATACAACTATAAAATTAATTTTTGCCAACAATGCTGACATCAGCTTGGTTCCTCCAAAGCGGGAAAATGAACCTTTATGAACTTCAGTCAGGGATTACACACAGTTCTTACTCCTCCTTCCCCGGAGGAGCAGAACCACTACCAGCAGTTACAGGCAGAAAAATAAGCCTCGAGATGACAATGTGTTTACAGATGTCCTATTTCCAAACATGCATCCCAGGAACGGCAGTGGAATTTTTTTTTTTTTCAGAGATTTGTACATGGAGATGAACAGGGAATGGCATTCCCAGAGTGGACAGAGCCCCATGGAAATACGCACAAGGGTGGGAAAACTCAAACGCCTCCAGGAAACTGTCTTCTGCCTTTCTGCTCACCTGCAGGAGACAATTTAATGCCTCACACACACACACGAGAGGCAAGAAAGTGATGTATTACATTCTAGGAGAGGTGAATACGTATTAAAAAGTTTTATATGATCTATAGCCTGGGGTTGCAAATTGTAATACAAATTAGGATTCTAAAAAAATTATCTGATTAGGCACTTAAATAATTAGTAGCCAAATTAAATTGTCGCTCTCCTGAAGAAAACGGAAAAGACTCATAAACAGTTTTTGAACAGCTTTTCTTCACAGTAAAGAAAAAGGCTCTTTATTTAGTGCAGCTTTTTGGAGATGAGTAGAACTTGGTATCTGTGGAAAATTGTTCACCAATAATGTGCTGGAATGATGTTCACTTCCCAAGTGTTCAATTTTGAACAAAATTATTTTACGATCTTTTTAAAGTGTTGCTAAGTTAGAGCTTCCGAAGTTCTGATGATATTAAATTTCAGGTAGAGAAAAGAAAAGCACAAGTTTCTGTTAGAAAAGAAAAAGAAACATTTTAACAACACATATTTTTGATAGGTGAAATGTTTTTGTTAGATAAAAATCTTGTTTTGAAAAGCTAAAGTGAACAAGTTCAAATACTGTACAGTTTTATACCAACAAAAGAATGAGATTTTCAAGAAATCTCACTTTTTTTAATTTTAATTTTATTTATTTTTCCTTCTGCAAGTTTTTACTTTCCTTGTTCAATATGCGGAAATGGAAGACTTAATAGGGCATAAAGTGACAAATTGACAAGACTGTTTAAAAAAAAAGGTGTAGCAGAAACTCATTGAGAAATATATCATGAGAAATAATTATTGAGAAATAACATGGAGAAGATAATATTCAGTAGTGGTAATAAATATCAGTACTTTGTTAGCAGTTCCACTCTCAGCTGATTGTTCTGCAGTCAGACTTACATGGAAGGTCAATACTTTGCACCTTAGGAAAACAGCATGCCTAAGGGGAGGCTCCAGATTCAACATAGCTCCCTGGATAATATCCCATTTATGCCAATAGACTTTGGATCAGAGTGTGGAAGGAGTGAGGCAGTGCTGGTTGCAGAAGTCAGACTGCTTGAGTGGTACCGGCCAGCAGCAGTGGTCAGGCCAGGAGGGGTGAGTCTGCCTTACTGCAGACCCTGAGGCTGCAGCACACAGACACACTCCATGTCTGCATTTCCTGGTGCTATACACATTATCCCTGAAACAGTGAACCGCCACAAACTATTGCCAGGGTTGATGTTCCCCTATAATATCAGTGTCTGTCTGATGAGGGTTTGAAGCAGGCAGGGATGCTCTACATTTCTTTGCCACTGCACTTCCAGAAGGGCAGGAGCCTGCAAGACTTCTGACACAAAACTGAGTTGTTGCCACTCCATGTTTGCAAATGTGTCTAAAGATATTTGCATCATAAGTCTTGTAATCATCAATGCCAACTAACAATTCAGTGATGAAGAGACAACAATTATATACTGGAGAAGAAGTGGTCACACAATACATTCTCTGTTCAAGAATAAAAAGGTAGTGCACAGGTTTAGATACAGAGCTACAGTGTGCCTTGAGACTGCACAGAGAGGTGTACAGAATATTCTGGAGTCCAGACTCAGTAGTTTGATATTCCACTAAATATCCAGTTGCAATCCAAATGGAAAACCAAGAAGAATGTTCAGGTTAGCTGCAAGTGGGAAGACACCCTTATTGGTCTCAAAGCAACCTTATAACTGACAGAAACAAATTTTAAGAACAAAAAAACCAAACTTGCCCCCAAACCATCACTCACCAAAATCGAACTTTGCTTCCCATAAGGGAAATGAAAATCAAATACTTGTGTTTAGTACTTTGTTAAAACAGATGATATTTTCAATAGAATGAAGAAATTATTTCACAGTGAATTGTTTGCTGATTAAGAAAATACATGGTGGAGTGGAGGTGCTCAACCAGCCTAGATAGATTACCTGAATCCCTTGAAGGCTGTCACAGAATCATAGAATTGTTAAGGTTGGAAAAGATTTTTAAGATCATCAAGTCCAACCATCAGCCCAGCAACACCACCATGTTCACTTTAAACTGTGTCCTCAAATGCCACATCCACATATTTTTTTAACAATTCCAAGAATGGTGACTCCACTACTGTCCTGGACAGCCTGGTTGCTCTTCCAATGCTTTGCCATACTTTCTGTGAAGAAATTTCCATAATTTCCAATCTAAACCTCCCCTGGCAGAACTTGAGGCCACCATTGAAAGAGAAGAGATATAGTTATGCAAAATATATCAACAAGAGCAAAATTGCTGCACATTATCAGTGAATATTGTCTTTTATTTATTCTGGCTTAGGTGTTTAGGGAAGGATGATGCACAAACTCTAGTGTGGCGCACTAGGGGATGAAAGGTCTCAAGAGAGACTTGAACCATCAACTTCTCACTATACAGTTATTCAACATTCTGCACGAAGGTGTTGATTGATCCAATTGGACAGGTTCTATGGCAATAACTTTTTAATAATAGGTTGAAAATTCATTGTGAATTTGTCTACTTTGATAAGTGAGTGAACGCAGAAAAATGGGAGACGAAGGGAACTGGAAGACGGTATTTGCTGCAGTTAAAGTGCTGTGAACTACAAGTGTAATGTGACCCCTTTTACCTGTGGTCCTGCCTTGTGGCACCTCTCCTGATGGAGGAGGAGTAGTGGACTCAGATAGATTGGCAGAGGGCAGTGAGAAGCCAACCTCATAAATATCACGTGCTTCTACAAAAACTGAAAGAAATGATTCACAGTTTGAGAAAGAGGCCTTAGGCAGAATATTTGGAAAATGAAATCAGATTGATACTGACATGGAAGTTTCAGCTGTCAAACAAACTCTTCCATTACACTCTATATTTTCCCTCTCATTCCCCAGAGTTGCATCTGTTTGTTGATTTTTTGTCTGAAACTGGATGGCAAACACAAAGACATAGGCACCATGGAGTCTCTAAGCACTACTGTGACAAAATGCAGATAGATCTGTAGTTACACTGTTCAGCTTATTGCCACAGGAGGCTGGAGAAATCCCAGTGGACAAGACAAATCCATGGAATTAGAAGCCACTGAAAACTATGAAACATCAAAGACACAACGTCTGATTCAGGAGGTCTCCAAGCCGCGGGCTGCGGAAGGCTATGGTGGAGGACTCATTAATGTACTCCTTTCCTATTTGTTATCCTTCCCTTCACATCTCATGATAGACACCCTCAGTGACAGGATTTGGGGCTACACAGATCCAGGATCTGAGCAGGTAGAGCTGGCTCAGATCATTGTTTCTCAGCTTCAATATTAAAGGAGATGGTGTTCTAGCAGCAATACAGCACTGGTCTTTCATACACACAGCCTTCCACATGTCACCCCTGAAAGACTTATGCTGCAGCCTTGCCCATCGATTCACCCCAGTGGACCAGCAACCCGGCACTGGGCCCAATCCAATATACACTGCATACATCCTCCTCTAAAATGCAGTCATGCTGTAGAAGGATAAAGATAAGGAAGATGCAATAGGAAAATTTTGTATTCATAACTCCTCATCCTTCAAAGTATTTGTTTCAAGTCCATGGAAAGTAGACTGAGTGCACAGATCTGCAAAGTTAAATGATAACCAGGAAAGAAATAGTACTGCAGTGAAAATGCAGGGTTTTCTTCCTAATTAAAATTTCACTTGTGTAGTATTTGTTTCGATTTTCCACTCACAAATATACTCATTTCCAACTATTATGATGCCAGTGAATAAGTAATGGGCACAATCAGCTGAAATTACACATTGTATAAAATCAATTTTGAAGCACTGAAACAAACATTTCTTTGTCTCACCGTTGTGGAAGGCTATTGTATTAATCTCATTGTAATTTGTCCCTCCCCCCCCATTTGATTAAGAATCTGAATATATTATTCAGAATACACATACACTGCAGAACATCATGACAAAAAGAGAGTACAAAATGAGTACTATGAGTACAGAAAGTCTTTGACCTGAGCAAAGCCCTCTGACATTACTGGGAAAGCTGGAAGAAAAAGGATAAAAAAACAATCTTTGACATAAAAAATAGGCTGTATTGCATCTCAGATTACATTGTCTGTAAGAAAAAATGAGTTGTGCTGTTATTTCATTGTAATATCTGCTGCTGAGAAATTGCTCATAAGTGGCAATCAGGTTCAGAGCAAAAAATTAAAGTGAGCTTTTAATAAAATCTGATTGCAGAAGCCTATCTTTTACAAAAGTATAAAACTACCTCTGCAGAGAGAGGAATCAAAATGTCTATTTTTACCGTGCTGAACCAAAAGACTGAGAGGTGCATTACAGATGCTGGAGAACAGCCTTAGGTGGGAACCAGCGCCTGGGTGCAGTGGCTGCGTTTATTGTGGGCCAGTGGGCCCAGCACCTGCAACATGCTGCAGCACTCCCCTGCCACACACTTCCCCCACAGCCCTGCAAACTGCTCCTCACCACTGTCAGCGGGACAGAAGGATCTGTACAGCTCACCATGACAGAGAGGGAGTGTGCAGAGATGTCCAGGTGAGGGACAGGAAGGCAATTGCTGCTCAATGGGGAGCAACGAGTGGGAGGAGGCTCCTTCACGAGGTGCATCTCAGAAAACTGCAGGCTGGAAAGTTAACAAATGCTTCACAAATGGAAACATGACTTGACCCTCAGCAGTCTGACTGTAAGAGACTTCTTTAAAACCCCTTGAAAACATGCACCATTCACAAACCGAATTAGAAATAGAGAAGGAAGTATGTGCTATTTAATGCCTTTGACTACAGTTTTGTCCAAAAATTTTAGCTGGAAGGGTGTGCAGTCAGATCTTTGTGGTGCAAGTAAACACAGACTCCAACCATGAGCTGCAAAAGCTGAGAAAGTTTATTCTTCAGTTTCTGTGAAGACAGAAAACACAACTTCAGGCTATTATACAATACAAGGTTAAAAAAATATAGTGTCAGACAATGAGAAAGAGAAGGAAAGAGAAGGTGCTTGATTTCTCTCTCTGTTGCAAGGGGATCCTTTTCTATGAAGCAGCTTCTAGGTTTCCTATCTGCAGGGGAAAAAAAGTAAGGCACTGAAGCAACATCTCATAATAGGAAAAACAAATAATCAATATCATATCCTCATATTAGTAGAAACACCCTCTCTTACCGTTCCTAAACACACAGCATGCCAGAAGACTGCTCTTTGCTCACCTATGTTGCTCATCTTGCAAGTGAGAGGAAGAGGGAAGGGAATTTTCAATGACAGAGTGCCTCACCTGGGAATTCAGCTTCTTCAACTGCTCCTACAGGCATCCACCTGGATACTAGACACAATGAGAAAGAGATGAAAGTCCCAATGCAGGTTGAGAAACCCTATGGCCCACTACAGAACCATGCCCCCTGGCAGGGGTAAATTTCCCTGGGTTGAGCCCTTAATGAGGTAAAATGCAAAGATTTCTTACCTCCTTAAATGCCATGGTCCATGCTCAGATGTACTCAGCATAGCAGGAACCAGCTCCCAATGTGTCCCATTATACCAAAACCACATCTACGGTTTGATGTGTGAGGCAGAACAGTTAAACAGTCTCAGCACTTGGAGGTTCACTGAAAGCAGGGACGCTGATACTGTCATTAAACTACGTTGTTTCAGAAGATCACAGGATTTTCCAAGTCCAAAGCCGAGCACCACACTGGGTTGTCTTGAGGGATGCTGAACTTTATTTGCATTCCAGTGACCAAGGCAAGTTTTTTTGCTGAATGAGAGCAAGGGGTTTTTCATTGTTCTGGGATGATTATGGTGTTTGGTCACTAGGTATAATAGAGTCACCAGCCTCTGATGTGGAAGGTTGGGAATTCTCAAAGCCTTTACAAAGAAGACTTCGGAAAAGCGGGAAGTCTGGAGGAATGATACAGGCAAAAACTATGGTCATCTCAAATAGGCTGAAGTTCTAGGGTCCGACTAATCTATGCCATGAAATCCCGTATATCTTCATGGCAGGCAGCTCATCTTGTGCAAGAGATGCGCCCAAGATGTGTTATGAAAATCAGAGAGGAGGTAGAGCCAGTTGAAGTAAGAGATAACAGCTGTAAGGTCATGATTACTGTTGAACAATAGCAGTTTTTGGAAGAGATGTGGAGCATATGGGGAATGCAAGTTCTTCTGCATCCTCGGTTCATGCTATTTTGTACTGCACTGCCATCTGAGAACACCTCTAGGTGTTGACTGATCACTTTCTCCAGTGTGATTACAATGTTAAAGGTGGTTTTCATGTGACAGGTTAGGTGTCTCCTCAAATATCCATGTTTGCCTGGCACATTTTCACAGCTCTGTTTAGTAGCAACACTCGAATTTTCATTTTTGTCTGCAGTGAGTACCTTGGGAAGCCATAATGCAAACATACCAGGGATCCTTTTCCAGCCACCTTCTATTCCAGGTGCATCACCAAAATCTGAGCCACATCGACACCAAGCTTTGACACCTTGAATATCCTTTCAGAAAATTCAGTGTAGAACAGGCAATACCCCTGCAGGTCGAGTAAGTCATATCCTACCCTATTATCTCAAAAGAGCTCACTCTGGTTAGAAATCATGCCCTAATGAATCAGCTTATGCTTAGGTGCCAGAATTATACTGAACAACTCTGAAATGTTATGTTAGCTGCACATTCCTATGAACTTTATATTGAATACTCAACTGGTGTGCTGCTACTATGTACATTTTACGTGCTCTAGAATGGGTACTCCAGGCAAGGGCCATAAAAGAAAATTGTCAAGTCGTTACTTAAGTATCAATATTTCTATCACACATCGTTCATCTGTGTGGAGTAGCCTTACTGCAATCTCTATTCATCAGCCTTTCTGTACCTGAGGAATTTCCATCCCTCAGCATTCTTCATGAGTCCAAAATAAGTGATTAATACCTTTTTACTGGTTTTTCAGTGTAACACGCAAGAACCCTTACATAAAACGTTAGGTCTGTTTTCAAGACAGCCAATACTTTAACACCATGGATGATGGTATTGATCTCTTAGTCATCAATTAGAACCCTTCATCTTATATTCTCAGGAAATATATCTATCACTGAAAAGCCAAATGTGCAGTTCTGTGAGCTATGTTGAACCTCAAATAAGAAATATTTTTGCAGGTAGATTTTCTCGAACTCTGTACTGTAGAAGACCATTTATTCTCCCTAGGGAGGATCACCCTAAATTTACCTCTAGAGTCAACATGAAATGGCTGCCATAAGTCTTGCATTTGTATATTAGTGTAAAACTTTTGAGATGATTCAATATCCTGAGCCTTTTTAACCAAGCAGTTTTCAAGAGGCAACTACAGGCACTTATCTTGCATCAGGCATTGCAGTTCACTGACAAATGTGCATGAAAAATTCAAGGTGTTTAGTTTTCTCTGTCTATTGTTTTTACTTTACATAAATTCTAAGGCACAACCAGTTGTGCCTTAGAGCTCAAAGCATCAGCAATTCCATCTTTCTGAGAAGAGTTTTAAAAAGTGAGAATATTAAAGCTCTATTTTACCTAGTGTTCCTGATGATACTACTCTATTAAAATCATTATTTTAGTCCAGGATTAATTGACAACTATTGTTTTCCTGTATTCTTTCACATTAATTACAGGTATTTGAAATAATATTCTTTATTAAATTTAATTCAGCTATGCTCCTGAAAATGGAACCTTTTTTATTTCTTTCATTTTATATTCAGAAGTTAATTTTAGAAGTCCTAAAACAGGATCTTTCAGTAGTCAGTGGACTGCCATAGGTCAGCTCATTCCAGCTCAAGGTACATATCCAAGACAGACAGGATAAATAGCCCTCTGGACACATACATCTCTTTCAACTATGTGCAGCTGGCATAGCTTTTAGATAGATAAAATAAGGCAAGATTAAACTCATCATAACTCTCGATCAAGGTATATCATGCACAACACTGAGAAGAAGTTTATCTAGGTTGCTTGCTTGAACAATTTGTAGGTCATATCCTTATTTGTTCAGTATATATGGGGTTTCTTTACACTTTTTAAACACAATTATATAATCTCAAAATCTTCTGTTTGAAATGAAAAGTAAAAACTAAAAAAATATAATGTATAATTATAATAGAGCTTAATTTGAATGCATGTCAAAGCAGAACTTCATTGTATATATGCTTGAGCTTAGGCACCTGAGCAACCTATTGATAGAGGACGATGTAGATCTACCTGTAAAGTTAAGGCTGCTCTAAAGAACTTCCTAGCTTTAGTCTTTTGAATCACAACTTTTTGTCGTTTTGTTGGTACATACAATCAGAGGAGGCCACAACACACACTTTGTAAACAGCTGGATGAAGGAAAAAGAAGAACGCATTTAAAGAAGTTTTATGCAGTGCAATTGTTGTCAGCAGTTGTAAGAAGGACCACAGATCAGACAGTTCTCGAGTCTAACTATACCATAAGAAACACTTGCCTTTATGTCCAAGTTTTTAAGGAAGCAAGTAAATCTGATTCAAATGGGCAGGCACCTAACATCTTTGAAAATACCATCTTTGAAAATACCTGCGTGAGTGACAAATATTTCTGTAAGAAACAGGACCTTCTGTCAGAATGCTTTTAATTTAAGATGTAAAGTGACTCTAAAAACCTGGGCAAAACCAGGATTTCACTTTCTGTGAAAGCATGTTTAATTTTGAAACATATAATGATGTAAGAATGTGAGAGAAAATGGCAGCTAGTTTAAATATGAATTGTATTAATGAGGAGAGGGCAAGAATCTTGTCTTCTAAGTGGTTATGACTCATACCTTCTAATTATAGCATGTACACATCCTACTTCAGTAAAAAAGAATATCAAGCATACTCTGGATGAAAGATATTCAGATACTTGGTGAACTAGTGGCTGATTAACAGGCACCAGAGTTCATCTTGTAGGGGAAAAAAAAAAAAGAGCCTGCAACTTTTCTTATTTACTCTGCTGTAAAACACAAACAATTCTGCTGCTGACAATGGAATTCTTTTGTTGTTGAAAGGGCACGAGGGCAGAATCAATCAAAAAATGTCTATGAATAAGTTTCTGACTTCATTCAGATTACAAAAAAATAAAATATTAATTTAGGAAAGCATATACTCAACTCTGTACTCAAAATAAAGCTAGAAGTCCATTCCCAAAGACAAATACTGAAAAAACCACCCCAAAACTAAGATTAATAATTTCCCAAATCACAAAGCTCTGAAATGCAGTCACTTAAGTGCAGTGGGGCAGAATGATACATCCTATGATGGAGCAGGTCCTTCTGCTCCTCCAGCCTCCTACCATGCTGCTCAGTATCGGCGAGGCTGTAGGGACCTTGCACGACTCTGGTTTGTTTCAAGGCCTGCAAGAGATGCCATGTGGGTCTTTTGGATTGCACAAAAGCTTCTGGGAGTTGCAGAGAAGGCTGGAGAGTCCAAACTGTGCCTCTCCAGCAAGTAGAGGATAGTTCAGACAAAGCACTGTATTTCAGAGGACTTCCCAAGGATTCAGACAAAAGGAGAGAGCAGCTATTGGTCAGCCTCGGAAATGTCACTAGGAGAAACACATGGCCAAAACCCTTAAAAACAAAAAAGAGTTTTATACCTAAACAGTAGAAAGTAAGAGACTGTTTTTCTGGAAGGACTTCTGCAAATGAGGTGGGACCTACATGGCTGAGGAAGTGTAGGGTGAAGCTGGGCAGTTTCACCATCACTACCTCTACCATGACAGTTTTAAGGGGTTTGATTTTATTTATTTGTTGAATATCTGTGAATCAGATTAGTTAGAATTTTGTTCTGCCTCAGTCTTATTTTGTGTTACTCCATTTCTTGCAGAACCTATAGCTGCATCCATGTCTTTGCTTTGAGATTTTGCTTTCTTTTGTGCATATTATAAATAACCTCTGTTCCTTTAGGTTTTATTACCATATATTTTGTAAAAAACTGAAGAACAGGACAGAGGAATTTGCAATGAGTGTAGGATTTTTAATACAAAAGGTGGCTGAGTATAGGGCTGACTGAGTACAGGTTGCTTAACTCAACTCTGACAGAGCCTTGTTTACATAGGGCACTGACTCCCAAACCTTTTGACCCCTGGGATATTACCAGTCTTCAAACTTCCTCGTACAGCCAGATCTAGCTGATAAATACCTTGATCATCGTTACTCCTGAACAAGCCTGGTTGTAGATCATGTACCATCAATGATTTAAAAAAAATATTTTCCCTAAACCAGTCATACTTCTCACTCCCAAATACCAACAGCACAGACCGTGCAGCTAAACTGCAGGACCCCAGTCTGGGGATTTGCACTGTGGAAGAATTGTTTGCACTGACTTTGACCTGACAGGAACTAAAGATGGTTTTGCTATTAGAAACATCATCCCAAAAACTGCTCTTCTCTGAACTCAGAGAAGGAGACAGATATACACAGAGAGGAAATGCTCACCAGTCTCAGGAGAAGTTGTCTTCACAGAAAGAAGTTTGACTCCATCTTTGTCTGACTGGGCCCTGTTGAAATCAGAAAACATTTAATCAGACAGACAGCATGCATGTTGGTCAGCCAAACAAAACTCTAAGATTATGATCTGGAGAAGGCAGCAGCTATGCCAGTCTACACTGGCAGGCTTGAAATGGGCTTTGCATGGGATCATGAGCAAGTCTTGGTGGTGGAAAACACCATATACCAACACCTCTGATAATACTTTTCTCTTAAAATATGTAACAAATTAAGTTTCATGATTCCAGGTTTTATCTAGCATTTCACAGAAGTACATCTGGGAGAAAAGAGGGAGTCATCTTTTTTCTGTCAATACAAAGCTTTTAGCCATGTTGAATTGCAAACAAAACATTGACAAGAGAAAAAACATTAACAAAAGAAGGGGGATGGGAAAGAATGGGGGGAGAGAAAAATCAATGGGGGAAAAAATTGAAAAAAAAAAAAATACTGGGCCAGTGAGTCCTGTGACACAGAATAAGCTGTTTGTCCATTCCAAAAGGATCCCCTGCAACACAGCTGAGAGTCATCACATTTCTATCCATGCTGGAACAGCTGCTTGTCATGCATACGGGTGTACAATAACTGCAGGAACAACACTTCCAGCAGGATATTTCTCTTTGGGGTGGTAACTGCTTATTATGCTTAAGCAGAGAGAGATCAAAGAAAATCCTACACAGAATCTGCTGCATTTACAAGTGCCCTGTGATAGATCTCAAAGCAATGAAAAGGATTCAACTTACTGTTCAGCGCCATTCTCTTGTCTCTCTGGAAGAAGAAACAAAGGTAGTATCATTTTGATTGCTGGAACTCACTTAAATAAACATTTAGACATAGCTATTGCAGTTTCTGGCAGACAGCTTAGTTGTGATTTTGCAGTATTGCATTAAGTGCATTAACACAATCAAGCAGCTTGAATGGTAATTGTTATTTTTCTGGTCATCTATGAAAGTGAACTGATACTGCTGATACTGATGCTTCTGGAAACCAGGGAGAATGATAAGTGACTTGTCCAAGAGCACAACAGAAGCACATTTTTCCCTGCAGCTCCCAAATCCCTGGGTAGCTGGCACAGAGGACATAAGCATGGAATGGTTCTTGAGTACATAACAACTGAGCTAAAAGATACAGGGTGAGGGGAGTGAGGGAATATGCTGCCAGGCTGTACACCCTGGGGGTTTAACCTATCATGACATCTGAGAGCAGAGCCTGTCATCCTAATTGATGAGGAACAAGTTTCTCCCCAAAATGAATCATATACTGAATGTATTTTATGCTTATGTGCAAGTGTGGGCAGATGGATGGGGCCAGCGGGTTACATCAGAGACATGGAGCCAACTCTAGCTCCATGGCACTAAGCACAGGGGTTTCCACCCACAGGGGAAGCACACTGGATAGGTCTGGGCAAATCCTACAGGAAGCACCACAGGTATCTACTCTATCTTCCAAGTGAATTTGCTATTACAGTGCCTGATGGCATTTGTGCATAGGGCAGGCTGGTGTGGAAATGTTCTTCATCTCATATCTTTATCTCTTGACTCCAAATATTTAATAGTTTCCTAAGCAAGGATCACACCTTCCTCTGTTTATCTGGGTCTGTTCTTCCATGTCATTGCCTAAATTGGTTGTGACACGCTGTTTGCTTTGGTTTACAGCTTCAACACCCTCTTGTGATTTTGTATTTCCAAGGCCTGGTGATTTCACAGTTGAAGCTCTGCACGGGTCTCCTAACTCATGCCAGCTCACAGGGACAGAAAGACCACAGTCTGGATTTTGCATTTTCACTTAATGAAGAATCACACTTGCCTGTAGCCCACTTGGGCAACTCTGAAATATTTGGCAAATGGAACTTGATGGAACCCATTATCTAAGGTATTTAATGGATAGCAGTAAAGCAGATACTGACTTTAGCTGTCCTGTCAAAATGACTGCATCTGGAAATACTGCTTGCTCAGGGATTTTGTTCCCATGTACATTATAGTGTAACTAGAAAATTCTAGTCATGCATAATGTGTGTGTGTATCTGTGTCTCTGTGTGTATCAGGTATATCCCAAAAGAATATTTCTTTGCCTGTATCTAGAACAGAGATAAAATAAATATAGTGATTTTGTTAAACAATATCTTCAAACTTAGTTTTCGCTGCCTATTTCTACCTGATTGACTGATTGTATTAGCACAGGTGTTTGCTAGTTCTTGGTAGCTGCAAAAATGTGAACAGAAAGCTTGCAGCATTACACATATTCTCTAAAAATCAGAGACATTTTTGCTCACTCTGTTCTTCCTACTGATTTTGAAAATGAAGTGTTAGTTTCCCACTTTAGGCAAAACACTTCAAAATACAAGAAGGTTTCCCACCAGACTACCACAACAGCTATGGTTAAGGTAATCTAAAAGAGATCTTTTAACAATAAAAAGCACATTGATTGCTCCCCCTCCCTTCCCCCCCCCCCCCCCCTCCTCCCCCCCCATCCAGAGAAAGCAAAACGAATACCTGGAGTTTTCTTCTGGCACATTTTGTACAAAGCCACCAGTGAGAAGACAGAGAGGGTAATGACTATCAGGGTGATAACAATTGGCAAGATAATACCTGCAAAAGAGGGAGAACATATTTTTGGCTGCTGCCTCTGGCTTGCGTTGCCTCTGTGTACAGGCACTTGCACACGCAAAGGTGAGAGGCATCTCCATCTCCGCCAAACCTTACCAATTTCTCAGGAGCAAGGTAGCCAGCTGCTCCTGGTGTCCTTCCAGCAACCACTGAGCCTCAGGCTCGGTGGCTTTGTGGAGGAAGGATTTAGGAACTTTCTCACGCCCTTACTCCTTCCCTGATATTTGTGTTGCACTGTGTAACTGGTTTCACCCATTTTCCAGTAGAAGAGCGAGGTTTCAGTACCTGCTCCACTGGGACTACCATAATCTTGATCAAAATATTCATGATTCACCCTCACTGCTGATGGCCCCAAAGATTTTGTGAGAGAGACATGTGTCAGAAATAAATTTTTCATAGGTGTATTTTATTTTTTCCTGTTGTTTTTGAAAGCAAGGTTTGTCTGAAATTCAGCAACAGAAGCGATTATTTTGCTTTCAACATTGTACACCCAGGAAGACACCAAGGAGTTACATAATTCAGTAACATTCCCCACAGCAGTTATAACCAGGGATAGAAAATGCAAGACCTCCTTTTAAAATGAGGACATTTCTTTCCTTTTATTATTTCCCACCATCTGCCATTTCCTGACAGGTGTTTCCCAGCCAAGAAGCAAAAAAGGAAGAATTATGTAATGAAGAGAAGCTTTCCTGGGGAAATATATAAGCCCAGCTTCTCCCCATTTATCTTTTTTTTCTAGCAGCAACCAGACACTTTCAAATTTAGCAGGCACTCTCCCATTGCTGGCCTAAGCCTTGTTTTGGGGGGAGGTTGCCTTCCACAGCATCAGCCATCATGCTGCCTGATGTTTAGAGGTGGCATCTTCCATGTCTCCTGATGCAATTAGTACTTAATATTAATACAGGAGTGTGTGTGCATCTGTGAAATCAGAGGGAGAACGCAGAGACAAGTTTACAGTGGACAAACATCAAACTTGTTTTCCTAAGCCAGTACCCCGGGCAGGAAATAGCAGGTCTGCAGCAACACCCTTGCCCCAGAGATGCAGAATACTAAAATAAAATATTAAGTAACATGCATCATGCAAATATCAAGTGCTTAAAGAGTCTGCAGAAGACTGCCTTATAGACCTTCTCTACCATGACAATATAAAAAATATATTCATATAATACATTCATACCAATACATTCATACAATATGTACAACATGTACACGTGCAACTTTTTCAAATGTTTCCTTATGTCTTCTCTCACAGGGGATGATTGTTCACTTTTTTTTTTCAATTTTACCACTTTGAATCAGTCCTTGGGCATAATTGTGCTGCTCTACAGTGAAATCAATGTCAACTTGTTAAGTTCTGTTTCTCTTTGAGAGGAGTTTTATAATAGGCATTTAAATTTTGTTTCTAATAGGGCCTACATCAGGTAAGGCTGAAAATAAAAATGCCAGTTTCATTTGTCTGCTACTCCAATCACTCACCAAAAGCAAAACTGATCAATCGAAAACTCAAAAGCTGGACAATAAAGTAGGAATACTCACTAGAATAGTGGATATCACTCTCTGTCCCTTTCTCATCTTCTCCAGGACTGCTTCCACGACTGCCAGAAGCTAGACGTGCAAAAGAAATAGTGCCTTTCACGTATTGCCAGAAGTCACAAACAACTCACCCTGAAAAATTACCCTCTTAAAAGAACTTTTGTGTCCCCAGTTCTGGAGCCACTCGGTGCTTCACATCTGTATTTTTTCTCAATAACTCTCTTCTCAGATAACTTGGCAAGTGGGGTGGAAAAGTTTATCTAGTGTGGCCTAGAAGAAACACACACTTTACACGGTTGCAGTCCTCCCTGGGATCATCTGCTGGTCCACTTACAGGTTATAAACTACAAGTTTTTTCACTTTTATGAGCTTATGGTACTGTTCAATATTAGAAGAGAACTCTTTACAAGTAAAAAACAAGAAAGAGAGTGAAAATTAAACCTCTCTCCAAAAGAAGAAAGACCAAAATATTTCACTCACTGCTAATAAAATTTTTTTTTAAAAAAGTGCTAATAGTAGATGAAGAAGTCCAAAGAGGTGCAATATTAGTAGATAGCAAGTTTCTTGAGAGTTGTTATAGAAGGATGTGCATGCTCTCTCTGCCACATCTGGAGAGAGCAATGACTTCCGTGAGCCTCTGGGACATTTTTTAGGTCTGGGTATAAAGGAATGAATTTCTACCTTCAGGTGCTAATCTGAATTTGAGTTAGATATCAAAACCCCAAAATATTTATTACCTTGTTGCACACAATCTGTGAAAAAAACAATCACTGAACTTCCAGAGAGAAAATAGAAAACGCAAACATTTGTGTTTCCATAGTTACATTACATAGCACATGGGATTGTATTCCATGTTGGACAGAGGTTTGAGTAGACATGTGCTCCCTGCCACTGAAGAAGCTGACCAGCTGGATATTTCCATTGCCTGTTTAAATATCAGAAATGGCTCTCAAACAAAGGCATCTGGGGAAGGTGGCCTGTTAAGAAGTGGGCCCAGCAGAGACTATAGCTCCATATATAAGTAGTGAGAACATGGCAGCAACCACTGAGGTTTTGTTGGAGGCTCCACTGCTCAGGTACCTACTCACAATCTGCACTTGTACGGATGCACGGTTCCTCTCCCAAAGAACACAGTAGGGCTCAAATTGTTGGGTGGAAGCTATGAAGTTAACTGAGTCATTAAAAACAATTTCCCAGTGGCAATTTTGAGGTCTAGAATACAATTTTGTTTTACTTCCTTTGAAAGACATGTCCCCATTTTTACAGAAGCTTTTGTACAGGCAGTAATTGTAACTCTAGTCTGCAGAATTATAACAGTTGTCATAGGTTTGAAAAGAGATGTTGGAATTTTTTCCCAAATGCCATCCCCCCCTTCTGTTTCTTCCAGGATGGGGAGGGGGGTGGAGTGAAGCCACATGCACTGGGCAGCACAAGAGCAGGGGAAGGGGGAGTGCTCTCAGGAAACAGAGGTTGCTGCAGGGATGGCTAGAAGTCGGTGGTTCGGGGGCTTTTGGGTTTTTTTTTTTGTCCACAGACCAGACAGAGCGAGAGCCTGGTTTCAGCCACCTATTTTTCTTTTCCGGAGAGGAAGTTTTCTTTTTGTCCACGGGACACCTCGCGGAGAATGACACAGAGAGAGAGACAGACTCATCTCAGAGCAAGGTATTCTGCTTTCAAAGACTGCCCGTGGGAAAAAAGGATTTTTTTCATTGCTGGCTGCGAGCACACGTGACTGTGAGCAGCTTTTGAACTGCCGGGACAGTCCTGTCTTCCCCCCCACTCCCTGCGGTTGCCGCGGGTTTCTCCCTCCCACCTGGGGAATTGGGACTTTGTTTTGTTTCTTCTGAAAGTTTTTGATTTGTTGCTTATTCAGATTTTGTTAATAAAAAGCTCTTTCTCTTCCTTTTCCACACTTCCACCTGAAGTTTCTTAATTTCTAAGTTGTAATCTTCTTAAACTAAGACAGTAACAAACAAGGTTTGTTTGTCCCAGCCATGTAGGGCTCCCTCTTCCTTGCTGCACTGATTTTAAACTCAGGCCCGCTATTAAAAAATGGGTTTTGTGGATTTCCCTCTCCCGCCCATTCTCTCCCCTTTATTTGTCTGGCCATAGACAGAAACCACCATCACTTACTAAGTGTTTGTGTAGTGCCTAAATAATACAGCCACAGCTGAGACCTTTTGATGCTATAGTGTAGGAAACAACCATTGTCCAAGACCTTTATCTCTGTTTCTTTAAAGCAGAAGTTCTCTTTCCCATGGTGCCTGTCTGCTGAGGGGTGATAATGTAAGGATGGAAACTGAGCCATCATCAAGTGACTAAAATAATTCCTATGAATTCTTAATTCCATGTGACTGCTTTGGATTTCCTATGGAAATACTACTGCCCTTTTTGCTATCTTATCTGGTATACTACATGATATGGAGGGCAAGCAGGCAATTATCACAGCAATAAGTTACCCTGGATACTGACTGAAAATGTCAACAGAAACAAATTACACTGAAAAACATGAGCGTGTATCCCTGCATTTGTGGGGGAGATTTGTGCATCTCCTCAGGAGAACAACTGAGGATTGAAATCCACTGGCTATTTTCCTGATTATCTGTCAATTGACCAAGGTGTGAGTAACACAGGAAAGAAAAATCCAATAGCTTGGCATTTTAACTACTTGAGACCATCAATAAGTAATACAACAGCTAAAAAGAAACATTACTGAACGAAATAGATTCATGAACTAAAAGCTTTAGCTCATTTCTCCATGTCTTTCACTAGATTCTCACAAGCTAGCCCATCCTGTCTACTTTCCCTGATCTGGAAGGCATTTTCCAGTTATGGAATGATCTGGGATCAGAATAACAATTAATTGGAGAAGTACATCCATCATGGTAACAGGAGGGACAAGATTTTGCTGGCAGCAGCAGTAGCAAGAACTGCAGGGACCAGTACAGAAGAGACTGTTTCCTGACAAGCACGGAGAAAGGAAAATGAGACAATACAGGTTCATTAGCACAGGAAACTTGCCTTACTCTGGGACTTGCCGCTTCTAACTACAGGACAAGGAACAAGAACCACTGACAAGAACAAGCTCCTTGGTAAACACTCTATTTATATCAGCTTCCCCTTGCATCACACAATACACCAGCCCTGGTTTTTTTTTGTGCTCCCACCCTGTTTTCTTTCCAGTATCTGCTAATCCGACATAGTATACTATTGAAGTCACAGCAAAGCTACTCAATGCTACAAGTTGAACACCACTCTTCTGCTTCTCTGTATTATGCTTCAGATTCATTCTTCCTCTAGAGCCTCCTTGTTTCCCGAACATTTCCTTTCCTCAGGCTGTCCCTCTCCCACTCCACACCAGCATTTTCATCAGTGTGCATAGAGCAAACTCTTCTATCACTCTTACTTGTTGATTCCGTTGGAGAGCTCACAGGAAGGCCTGCAATAAAACAGAAGGAATAGGTTATTAGTATAGTTTTAGATATCCCAAGTCTTCACATCATGCAAACTATCAGACTCTAGCAACATGCTCAGTAAACCCACAACAAATGCTGCCCCAGAATGGACATGCTAACGCAGTTCCTAAGCCCAGAAAATCGGAGCTGTTAAAGTCTGCAAACGTCTCATAGATAGGAGCAGAATCAAAAGCCCAGCCTATGCTAGGTTGTTTTTCTGCTCAAGAGAAGAAAATCCTGAATTAATTGATACATTAAAAAAAAAACCTCCTCCTGCCAAAACCAAATAAGTGCCTGTGAGTGAATAGCTGACATTTAACTGACAAATAAGTGTTTTAATAAAAGAAAGTCAAATGCCTAATTGAGACACGTCTTCAAGTGTCACAAAATCCTTTAAAAACAAATCTTCATTTATTATCTTGGTGCTTTTGGCTAGCAGACTGCTGAGCAGCAGGAGTAAGAGGCATTGCTAATGAGGAAGAACTTGACCTTGCAGAGCACTGGGCACAATGCTTACTGGCCCACTACTGTCAGCTTCCTCCAGCCACTTCACAAGTTTTTGGTGCACAATGCTCATTTTCTGTTAGCTTTTTGTTAGCATGCTGCTGCTTTTGTGTGTCTAGACTGTAGCAGGCTTGGAAATAAAGGGCGGCTCTGAATACCTCACATTTGTAGCCTAGCCACAAACAACCATCACTCCCATAGTGATTTTTATTACATCACATTAAATATCTTCAAGTCACAGGGAGACGAGCACCTAACTCATCTGTGTCTTTGAGAATGTTCACCTGTGTGAACTAGAAGCAAAACCTTTATCTGCTTGTACAAGACAGACTCTGCTTTACCAGGGACAAGCGACTGACGCTCTGCCCACATGGTGAGACATTTCACACTGGATTACTGGGGCTACCAGGGGAAAGAATATCTCAGGCACTATATATCCTCAGCAGCCACTCGTTATATATTTTGAGCTATAAATTACAGAATCATTTAGGCTGGAAAAAACCTCCAAGGTCATTGAGCCCAACCTTTGACTGATCTCCACTTTGTCATCTAGACCATAGCATTAAGTGCCACACCTAGTCATTTCTCCTGCACCTCCAGGGATGGTGACTCCACCACCTCCCTGGGCAGCCCATTCCAGTGCTTGACAAACCTTTCTATGAAGAAATTCTTCCCGATGTCCAACCTGAACCTCCCCTGGCACAGCCTGAGGCTATCTCCTCTTGTCCTATCTCTGGTTGCCTGGGAGAAGAGGCTGACCCCCACCTGGCTATGACTCCTTTCGGATAGTTGTAGAGAACAATAAGGTCTCCCCTGATCCTTCTTTTCTCCAGGCTAAGCAACACCAGGTCCCTCAGCTCTCCTCGTATGTCTTAGTCTCCAGACCCTTCAGCTGCTTAGCTGGCTTTCTCTGGACACGCTCCAGCACTTCAATGTCTTTTCTGTAGTGAGTGGCACAAAACTGCACACAGAATTCAAGGTGTGGCCTCACCACTGATGAGTACGGAGTGACAATCACTTCTCTGGTCCTGGACACACTATTTTTGACACAGGGCAGGATGCCACTGGCCTTTTTGGCCACCTGGGCACACTGCAGACTCATGTTTAGCTGCCGTGGACCAGGACCAACTCACCTTTCTCTAGGCTAGAGGACACTATAAAAGTCCTCCTAGTTGGATCTGTTCAGAGTTCACTGCTGCCAGTGCATTTGTGGGGAATGGGGCGCATCTGATCCTCTCCTGAGAGCTCCATAGAAGGACATGACCCACCAGCATGTCTTCCATGTCCCAGCTGTGCCAGGCTGAGGGACCACAGAGGGAGGGAGCATCATGGAGGCAGCTCTGACTCTGGGCAGGCATTAAGCCTCTCCCCTGAGTGCCCTGGGTTGCAGTGCTCCTCCTCCAAATCAGGGTCTCTAGGGAGTACAAATCTACTCTTATGCCCTCACTGCACTTTCTGTGCATGGACTAATGATTTGCACAAAGACAGCTCCTACCACCAGAGCTGTAACACACATTATTCTACTGCTGTGAATGTACTCTTTGAAAACTAGAATGCTGCTCTTGTTTTTCTTCCTCTCTACACTCAATTAAAAACATGGATCACTTCAGCCACTGGGATGAAAATAACTGCTTTTGCTAATGATTTATGTGACAGAACTTTAACTGCATTTTAATCACAAGCATTCATGAAAAGCATGTTTAGGTGGAAAAGCCAAGTACTTAAAAGTCAGCAGTAAGAGCTCTTCTTGAACTTACTAAATATTTGTAATGCTAAGTATCCTGAAGCTATAGTTACCTCACCCTGACTTCCTAGAATGCAGAGGATACTTTTTTCCTAAGCTTTTTGTTATCTCATCAATCCATCTGCCAAAAGCAATGTCACCTTGTTCAGAGAGGATCTTTGTGCTGATTCATTAGGTAATGTTTATACATTACCAACAAGACCAAGGAAAAGCTTTCAGGAAGTTAATAAATCATATGTCAAAGGAGGTTTGGAAAAACATGAAGTACAGAATGCAGCAGGATACATACCTGGCATTAAGGAAATATCCAAATATGATATGATTGCTTCTTACCAGAATACTACCTTTCCTTCAGCCTATAAGGAGTGGGATCCCATGGAAAAAAATACCATGTGATCACACAGCAGTGGTCAAACGAGCAAACTGTAAGGCTTTGTGTGTGCGTATTCTTGGAGGAGGGCAGAAGACCTTGTCAAGTCTTACAAGTAGGTCACTTCTCTATGAAACTTCAAACCTTTTCCAAGTCTGTGGAGCTTTCCTATAAAAGATCTCCAAGACTACAATGTAGTTATACATTTCCGCTTAACTTCACTCTTAGAAGCAAGGTGAACTGTCTTGGCTCAAATTAAAACAAATAAATACATAGAAACAGCATGTCAAGCCCAAGACTGATATCCAAGTTCACCTCAAAGGCTTAACAGTTTGTTAAAGATGAATGCCAGTGACATTAGGCTCTGTGTTCAAGAAGATTTGGGTGACAATGTACCCACTGGCACAAGCGAAAACCACTTTGCTGTCCTGGCCAGACCTTGCTGCTTCAATAAAAAGCAGACAGTAGAAACTACCCCAGGCAGGAAACATGACAGCAGCCCCCTGCCCTCCTTTCCTGAGCCTCTGTTATTTTTTAACAACTGCACATATGCACACATCTACACACAGTAGAACGACAAGCATCTTTCCTGAAGATATCTCACCCAGTTCTACTAGATCATGAAAAATTAAAATCATGAAAGATTAAAATCTTGTGCCTTTCTCTCTCTCTCTTCCCGTCTCCAGTATGCAAGCAAGGTGCTAGTTCATCCTCTGTTCAGAGATTGCTCAGTCCTGCCACACAAACAAATCTGTGCTTATTGGAGTGATTAAACAGGTGCTTCCAGTTTGCATTTGTTAAATAACCATCCAGTGCCCTTTTTGGTGAGGGCTCTCATGCTGCTGTTCTACAGAAAGAGGCTAGAAGGAAAAGCAGCATTTCACTCACTAACATAGTTACTGTAGTTGCTGTATCTGCCTGTCCAGAGCTTACCACATCCTTTGGTGCTCCAAGTTAGGTGCTCTGCATAAATAATCTGGGAAGATTTCCAGATTCATAATGAAAAATGAGGTGTGCAACACTGGCTGTGCTGGGTTCCTTGTTGTGCAGTAAGGAGGGCAAGGATAAAAAATTTGGCATGTGACCATGGTTTGATTTGAAATTACCTGTCTGAGTCAGTTCAGTGCTAGTGAGAAGCCTGACAGATGGAGAAAGAGACCAATAACTAAATTCTCCCCGCTCTGCTCTCCAACAACTGCTACCTAAGCAGCCTGGATTCCCTGCAGTGTGCTACTTCTGTTTTTTGGAGTGCAGCCACATGCAACTGTGTTCACTGGCAAAACAAACGAATAAATATGGCTGATTACTCAGAGGGGATACCACAATATAAATCAAAGCAAAATTAAAAACTTGGAAAAACCCTTCTTGCCCTGACCATACTATAGATTTGTAATAGTGTTAACTGAGGCTTTTCTGTGTTTTCCATCTCCCAGAAACTTCTATTTTTGTGTCTCTCTCCTTGTGAAGGAGCTGAAGATACGGTGGGTAATTTTTACCTAATATCACTATCCTGAGTTCCTACACAGTTTGTGTACAGAAAGAGTCAAACCCTCCTAGTCTTACTCATAAAAAATTTTCTTAGGGAGATGCCTCCTGTGAATCAAGTGAGTAGGATTTATAATTGGAGGAGTGCAATAAAGATATCAATAGATGTAGCAGGTTGATTCATCTGACAGTTTATTATAATAGATCATTTAATTTTACCACCCTGCTGGGTGAATTTAAGATCACACTGCTTTATGGATTTTTTTTTGTTGTTTAGATCACAGAATGAAAAGCCACAATACTTGTTGTTTCTCAGGTGTATTTAGACTCTGACTGATCCATTAATCTCCAATTTTTCATTAATTAAACAAAAGGAGAAAATTAAATATTAGCAAGCAATCCTCCATGGAAGTGAAGAATGAGTAGGAGGTATATCATATATGACTGCCAAATTTGGAGAAGTGTGTGTGTCAATGGCACACATGCAGGTCGCTCTCTTTGCTAAAAACAGTCCTTATTGCCTTCTCTAGCCTGGGTGAACACTATGCAACCTCTCCTTTGTGGCTGCTGGTTTCAATCTTCTTTAATACAGCAATACTGTTCTCTGATGTTTCTCCAAGTTCTTCCCTAGGCTCCCCCACTCATTTCAGGCGCTCTCCAGCTCTCTGTAGCACTCCTCCCACACCCTGATCTTTTGATATGGTTGATTGGAAATTTCTCTGCAAAATATGCTTTCTTCTTTTTCTGCATCAAGAAAGGAAATTTTCACCAAAATGGCATTTTTTTTAAAAATGGAAAATGGTCTCAAAACTAAATGTATTTAGCCAGCTGAATTATTTTGTCTGATCATACCAAATAGAAACATTCTGTTGTGGATAAATTTCAGATTAATTTGTCTTCCCCTGAGCTCCCTCGCAGAGATTGTGGCTCAGGTACCTTCAGCTTGCAATCCCCTATGGGCTGCACATACCAGCCTCTGCTCTGGTGAACGAAAGGTATCCAGCCCCTGTATAAGTCCCTGAATACAAAATTTCAAAGACCTAGGAATACATAATCTGATGGCAGTGAGAGAGTCAGCATTTCTTCTAGTCTCAGCACAGAATGAAACAACTGACTTCACACTTGCATTGCTTTAAAGTTATTAGGGTGCAGCATATGGCTTTTCTTGGCCCTGAGCAATTGCACATAGGAGAAGAAATCTATTTAGGAGGGATGAAAACATTTTTTCCTAAAGTCTTTAATGTATACAGAGAATAAGGGAGCGAGGATAATTCTAAGGTGTAACCAGTTGGGATAAGGTATGTAACACTTCAGGGTGAGTAAGGGGATTTCTTGGATATATGAGCTGCAAGAAAGAAGCAAGGAGCTGGTGCTGTGAGGAGACAGGAGAGGTGACAGTGTGGAAATCCTGGTGTGGGAGGAAGTGATTTCAAAATGGCAGTTTTATGGGCACCCAGAGTACTGGCTATGCCAAGCACTTAGGCTGACTCCCCTTGGATAGGTAGGTCCTTTCTGTCTCAGCCAGGCAATTATAGTTCTGGCATCTTGGGTAGTCTCTGAGCTCAAGAAGATTTATTGTTTTTACTGCAAAGTGAGCTGCACAAGATGATGACTTTTGCAAAGGAAGTTTTTTACAACCAAGGAAGGTTGTAAAACTCTTGACAAATTTTACATGTAAAATGTAATGGCACAAACAATGTATTAGATAATTCAATACACATGATCCATAGTCACATATGTATTACGATTTAATTTTAATCTGGAGAATTTACCTGTGTGAGAGACTGTTGAATCAAAACAGTTATAATTTACTGTTTTATTGCAGTATAACAATGGTGAGGTTTCTATAACATGCACATATCTGCTAAAAGACACAAAATCTAAAAGGATAGTCAGAAACTACAGGTCACAGTATATCTGTTATGGGCAATGGGCTTATTGAAATAATTGCAGAGGATCCTCTCTAAATCAGTGGCCTTGGGTTAAAAATGAAAAATTCACAACTTCCTTAAAATGTTTATTATAATATCTTTTTGCATACTTCTGGGCATTTCTGTGCATACTGAGCATATGATATTGCTCCATTTTATATCCAAACCTATCCTTTATGAGGAAAAATCGCAGTACACATATATGCTTATCTCTCACAAACACAATCCAGAGTTGCAAAAGGAGTCTTGTATCCCTTGGGGGATGTTAAACATTAATAATAATAAGGATATGCAAACAATGACAGCGTCCTTGTTGGATTTAAGCACATGTAGCCGAGAGTAAGTACTGAATTAAATGGAGGCTCAAGAAACCTTAAGAAAACCTGAATAAGTGGTTTTTCAAAATATATGAAAGTCAAGCCAGCTAGAAGCAAAACAAATGATCACTTATATGACCTGGCATCTGCATTCACCACAGTGTTTCTTAGTAGGTGCATGTACCAAAACACACCCACATATGGCATATATAAAGATTACTACTATCACTTGTAATTTATATCCTCCTCTAATGACACTGAGTATCTCAACTGAATGTTTTGAAGTTCGCCCATCACTCGACACAACTTCATGGCTAGATGACATGGACACAGTGTACCCTGCATGAATAAGGAGATGTGGTCCTCATTCCAGAACTATGAACATCAAATGAAGATTCAAAATTATTTGCATCATTTGTATAGAAGAAGAGTGTACATTTTCAAGGATTACCTGAGGTTCCAGAAGCAGAAGTGTTTATTTCTGGAGAGACTGTAGAAGAATAAGATGATCCCTTAGTAGATGAATCTTCTGAACTCCCATTTTGTGGCAACTCTGTTGCACTTGCTTGTGTAGCTGGAAATGAGACAGATGTTCAGGTAAGATACACTTGTCTTAGGCTCTGGACCATCCCTCAGACAAATGCTCCAACCATCATAGAAGATACTTAAGGTCAGAAAGCACTACAGCTTCTGGTAACTGCTTGTCAAGCAATGAACCATCCCTATGGAATTGCTACTACTGGCATAGTTAAGGCATCTTTAAAGCACATTCTAGCAACAGAAACAGCCTCACATCTGTGCCAGAAGACATCTCAGAGCTCTGACTTGGAAGCCCAAGATAGCTAGACAGTCTTGCACCAAGAGCAACATGAGCAGAAGACAGAAGCTCAACTTATTGCCCTTTGTATGTTCTTAATTTGAAAATAAATAAATAAATAAATAAATAAATCAAGCTTCAGCCACAACTGCCACATAATGTGATATTGTGTAAAATTTTAGGGATTGTAATTAAGTATGGAGTTAGTTATTTAATTCTGGGCTGTTTAGGCCTAGGAAATAATATACCCCTGAAAATTAATATATGAAAAAGTCAAGTGTCTTATTTCTGCTCTCACTCAGCCAATAGAAGATCAAGACCATCTGTGTCAGAAGATTTGCAGCCTAAGGTGAGTCCAAGACAATGGTGCAGGGCACTGCCTGAGCCCAGAGAACTGAAGGTCGCCAAATGACTACAAGAAATAATTTAAGCTGTTCCAGCACTGCTGATAACTCCTACGTATACACTCCGACCTCAGCATAACAACAAGCAAGACAGTCCCTACTGAATAATACATGGGGTGCCCAAGAGTAACCTTATACTTCCTTTCGGTTATAAATCAGAGATGCGACTGAGCTGTAAGCTGTTTTCAGTGCCCCTTCATATGAATTTCAAACACTGGAATTAAAATGACTTTAATACATGTTTTAGTCAGAGAGCAACATCATGCACATGCAATGTGTAAATCTTGAGGAATGCTTCATCACACGCTTTATTCAGAAACTCTGATTTCCAGTTTGGGCCCTCAAAGAACCCTTTGTTTGGGGAAAAAAACCTCTGACAAGCTCCTTATTTGACCACTGCACACCTTCAACTCGGCCCTTCCCTTCCCCTCTTGCTTATTAAGTGCAGTACCTTGGAAAGGCAAGCTTCAAAAATCAGTGAGCTAAGAAAGAGTGAGCTGAAGGTGCTAGAGTCAGGGGATTCATATAACTTTGGAAACTTAGAGAAGCTAGGCAGCCAGAGGTGGTATCTTTCAAGGCTGAGGCATGGAAATTATGCAAAACAAGTTTAAGCCTAAAATTTTCACTGGGATTCTAGTAACAAGAAGCATAACTTCACATCAGCTCCCTTCAGAAACCTCAGCATTGTACCCCTTCAATATTCAAGCGTGACCTGCAGTAGAGCTGAGTGTAAAAAGCCCCTCTAACTCATTTTTCACTATAGTATAATGCAAGGATCTGAAAACTTAAATAATTTCTGCATTCTTGTCATAGAAGCCTTGAATGAATCTTTAAGAGCAAACTTTTTCCACTTTCAATTCTTACTGTGGTTGCTTCAAACTCAAATTTTATATGTTGAATTTTAATCTGAGATCAATTTTTAAAAAAGCAAAACACCCAGAGTACCTCCCTCTCCCTTTAAGATGCACAGGCTTGTAACTGTAAGAGCAACCATCTTGTGGTACCCTTGTCATAAGTTACTAAAAGCTTGCATGGGAGAATGAAAAGTAAATAAGAACAACAGTAAGCCTTCATGTGCAGAGACATTCGAACATAAATATGTTTTGTGAACAACAAAGCAAAACAATCAGGTGTGTGGGAGAGATGAGGAGGGAGGCAACCAGTTGCCCTGTAACCCTATAGAGGACTGTTTTCCCATGAGGATCACTCGTTCCAGGCATCCTATCAGTCCTGGCAGCAGCCCAGCCCCGGGGTGCTCCTCTTGTGTTTGGGAGCTGCAAGAACAGATTGTTCTCAGGAACATGGGCTGTGCGCTAATGTCATGGTTTAAGCCTTGGCAGGGGGTCGGGAGGGGTGACAGCATTTCCACTTTATTTCCTTTAATTCAGCCTAGGTGAGATTCTTCCAGTGACTCAGGTAACACCAGATATGACTCACACCTTTACCTAGGGCTTGGCATGAAGCTTGTTGCATTTATTTCATCAGACTGCAGAACAGGCTCAGTGCTCCTGGTGTCAAAGGGTGAAGTAGATGTGCTACAGTGCAAAAATCCGTGTGCCAGTTTTTACTTTCCCAAGATGAAAAACGCAATCTGCTGGGTAAGGTTTCCTTAATTCCACTGTACCGGTGTAAGATGAAATCCTAGCAACCCAATTCTCTGCTGACTTGTGGCTTTGAAGCAGCTTTTAAGCAGCATCCAAGCCTTGCGCCTAATACACTGCCTAAGCTCTACCACCAACACACATAGCAGATCAGACAGCTTCTGCACCAAAAGCCTGTGGGAACAGAAGCGTCCATATCCAGCCACTGCTCACGCACGCAACAACAGCACTGACAGCACAGTACGCCTGCTAGAAATCTGCCTTTTTGGTAAATCCTGTAACTCATATCTATGCAAGGTTTAATTTGATCTCAACTGCAGGAGACAGCGCAAGCCCTCACTGCGGTGCCCGTGCTCCGCGCGGGAACAGGCGGGGGACTCTGTGCGGGCGCGCCGTGACTCAGTTCTGTCATCCCCACTGACACATCGCTGCAGTAATTCATCACGCTTCAGCTCAGCCAGCTGCAGCAAAGATTCCTGCCTGCTGCCAGGGGGAGGCCTGGGCTCGCAGAAAAGCAGCACGGTGCAGAAGGGCGGCTGCTGCTGCTGCTGCTGCAAAAGCACTTGCCTCATGGGTTAATGGGTTTGTTGTCAACAGCTGATTATGAATAAAAACGGTAAAGCAGTAAAGACTGTAAAATAGCTGTCCAAATGAGGATGATTGCTGCAGCAGCAGAACTCTCTGGTGGAGATGCAGCTCTCCCTGCTGATATTTTGATAAAATAAACGACAGTGTGTTAACACATATTTGGCAAAGGGATAATCAACAACAGGGAACCTGAAGCTGCTTGACAAAGCTGCTGCTTGAGCTTCAGATATTTCCTTACTCTTTGTGCTCTGAAAACCCTTCATTTTCTTTAACCAGCTGAAATTCAACACATATTCTCTCTTGATCTTAGCATGATTTTCTACTTAACCTACGTATAATCCACACATATTTTGGCATTTCCGCACAGTACTTTTAATTTTCTTTACAGCAAGCTGTTACCTAACTAATTTTGACATTGTAATATGCTTGAAGTAAGCTACAAATACTCTATGCACTGCGAAGAATATAGACATCTGTATGCATGTTAAAATGTTAAGTGACCAATAAAGGAGTCAAGGAAACACAGGGCAAAAGGAACAGCACCCAAACCATGTTAAAATGCCATCATGAGGGCTTTGTTAGATGAAGACTAAAACTTCTCCCTTGAGCTCATATTTTTAGCATAAACACACAGGCCTTGCCCCTGTAATCAGTAGCCTGAAAAGCCATTTGAATTAATGAATACATTCATGAAAGTTTTGAAAAATCCAATTGTAGCAAAACCAATTACATTTTTACCCATTTAGAGGAATGAAAATTGGCTAGGAAGGTAACGAAGCAGATCTCAGTTTTAATGTTTACACCCATAGTTGATTGCATCTGCTGTTTGCAGCTTTATGTTTTCTGGAAAGAAAAAGTCCCAAATATATAAAAATACATATTTTAAAACTTCTTTCTGCCTAACATATCTCAGCAGCCAACTATACTCGGCGTTTACCTGAGGAAAACTGAGCAATACATGTTAGTATAACCCTCTTCTGGTAGTGTTACCGAAGTAAAGCTTCCTTTTTAATTACCAGTAGTTTGATAAAGAGAGAAAAAGGATCTCCTCCACTCTTTCCTTTCCTCACTTTTAAATATTTAATATCTAATTGCACCGTGATGTATCATCATCCAGGAGAGTAGCATGAGATAACTCAGAAACACAACAGTCAAAAATCCACTCTTACTAGTAACTTAATAACTTGAGCACTGACCTTGCATAAGATGCTTGCTCCATATCCAAGGGAGGAAGAATAGAAACTTTTGTTGCATTTCATTTTGTATTCTCTTCGATAACTTCAAGTGTCCCAGGATATGAAATCCTGATTGCAGATGCAACTTTCTGTGGTGTGACACCACATAAATTCTTGGGTTTGGGCCTGAACTGCACAAGTGAGGTCATTCTGGCAAAATGTTAAATCTTGGATTTGACACCTTATACTGACAAATAAAAAGGCTAAGGAGACCAATCTACTGCTGGCTTCCATTATAATAAACCAGGCAGGAGGGCTAAGAAGGAGAGACTGTACTTATGGCCTGCAGAGGAAAAGAACACTGAAAAAAAAGGACAAAGACTTTTGCATGATTTCACAGTGTATGGAGCACTGGAGACTTTTCCTGAATCTATAATAAAAGGTGACAGCAGCCACAGAAATTGCAGCAGAGACAGGAAGCCCTGTCACATCTTTGCTGTGTGAATGTGATCATTTGCTGAAGCTTTTAGCCTGGATTGAAGCAGAGAAAGTGATGACTTTCATTACAAAACAACAGAGGTGCCTGCTTTTTATTAAAAATCAGGTGTAGTAAAAGTAAATTTTGAACTGCCATAAAGGCACCACCAATTTCTGGCTCAGTCTCATAGAGTCAGTGCAAAAAGGGGGAGAAGTGAGTGACAGTGAAAAAGAAAAAGACAGAGTAGCCAACTTTCATCTCCTGTCCATTTTGAGAGCAGAAATCTTGCTGTGCCTATGCTTGTTTCAGGGAGCACAACTCCCTCCTCCCTGTGCTGTTGCTGGGGGTGCCGGCAGGGGCTGGGAGGATGCAGTGAAGCCAGGGGCACCTCGCTGTGCCAGTGTGTGGGCAGGAAACAGAGAGATGCCTGTAGCCAGCAGCCACACAGTGGCTGGGGGGGCTGTGGGGTTTCTGCAAGGCTGGCCACACATCTGCACAGCCCTTGTGCTATGCCCTGTTCCAAAACTAAAACCTTGTGCCCCATCCACTCCTTTGCGCTGAAGCCAAGGCTATGACCTTAGTGAAACGTAGACCAGAATTTTATCTTAAAAAACCACTAAAATTGGTTTTCACATACACGTATTTCCAAACACTACTGTAACATTAAAAGAATATATTAAGTTCTTTAATGCCGGGTAGTTGCCAGTGTCCTGGACACACTGTCCCAGTTTTCCTTTATACAAAGGCAATTGAGAGGCAGGTAAGCCCTGCTTTTAGGTTAATTTATCAACCATCTTTTTATCACAAGATTTGGGGGATTTTTTTAACTTAAATGAGGAGTTTTAAAAACAAATCACAATGCAAGCAACTAGGGACTGAACTCTAGTTGCTGGGAAAAGAATACAAGAGGAATGGAAAGGAAGCACGTTGGTGAAAGCTTCTTGCTTGGAGCCCAGCATATCTCCAGTGCCATTGTACCCCTAGCACCAGTTTTTCAGTGCAGAGCAGTGGCTGGAGCGAAGGTGCACTGGCAGGCATGCCTTTCCTCATTAGCTTCCCTTCCCCTGCCGAGAGCTCTACCTGTCACCAAGGTTTAGTTCCAGGTGGCTGTGCTGCTCGGGTACCCACAAGCCAGGAATTTCTGCCAAACTGAAAAGACTAGGAATTGTATCCATAATGCTGTGTGCCACGCCTCGGGCTTTTGACAGGCCTGCAGTGTAACAAATGCAAGTTTTAAAAGATTCTCTGTGGCCTTTGGTATCACTTTCAGCACCTTGTGCATTGGCCAGGCTGTTTGTGTTTTGTGACTCACTGACACCTGCATTTAAAAGCCAAGATAAAAAACAAAAGATTTTGGGCTGACAATCAGACTACTCCTTACACAAAGCACAGCAGGAAACCTGCACCAGTAGAAGATGAAACCAGTAAGTGAAAGGGGAATAGCTCTTCTTGCAGCTTAGCAGGCTTGGGTCTATGAGGGCTGGCTTTAAAGGAAAATTTGCACAAAGAAAGCATGCAGGCTTAAAAACATGTGTTGTTTAAAAGCTGCTTCAAAAGAGACAGGAGTCTCTTTTTAGGCAAGTAAGCCAAGGGAAGAGAAGTCACATTCTAATCATTAGTCACAGTTCAGTATGCTGTAAACATCAATTCTGAGAGCATTGGTGTACTGAGGTAAATATTTGGAGTATTTTTTTAATTTTTTAGTAAATTTAATATAAAAATGGAGTATTTCAAAACTGTGGTTCATCAAAAGACTGAAGCAAAAATTTACAGTGCAGTTAATGGACAAAAAAACGAGACTTAATTTCATCTTAAGTGTATTGAGCTCCTTTTGGATGTTATTATATTGTTTACATGAATCCAACTACTTGCTGGATAATGGGTTTCAGTTTTTATTTAGTTTTATTTTATTTTACTAAAATCCAGTCTGATGTTCCAGCCAACACACACATTATTCTGAAGATTTATGGGTAACAAAACTGTTTCCTGTGATTGATGCAGAGTAATTAGTATCACCTCTCTGCTTTCAGTACGATGACTCATAATAATATGGTACATAATTAACTGTAGTATTGTAACATATATAAACATAAAAAACAAAGGGGGGCTATTCTGACACCATTCTGATCACACAGAATAATTTTTTTTTATTAAGTACTTATAAAAAAACAAACAAAGAAGAAAAAAAATTAAGACCTTTTCAAATACATCTCTCCCAATTACAAGGAGATTAAAATCCTGTGCAATGGCTTCAGATCATTGCAAATTTAAGGTGCCATGTTCTTTGTGTAAGATTCTAGGGCAAGATTCATTAAAGATATTTAATATGGTAGGATTAGTAGCTCTGCTTCCCTAGACCACCAAATTCAAAACCCAAACTAATCTTTTTTACCTCCTTTTACTTCTCCACACTGGTTTATAGAAATGTAGCATAGAATGAACCAGAAATGGCTCAATGAAATTATCACTTACGGTTTATTGTGCTGAAACTTTCATTTGGTGTTGTAGTTGTCACTTTTACCACTGCTTGTGTTGTTGTATCTTGTGTTATACCTTGTGTAGCATTCGACAAAGAAGACATGGATGCTAACAAAGGAAAGACATTCAATTTATTTCCTTTAGTTTTGTATACACACATATGCACACACACAAAACACACCTATTTCCCCGCTTGAAGTCTAATTTTAAATTATCAAAAGTATATTTAATTTAAATTGAAGATCAACAGGGATAGGACTCCATTCACTGCAGAGGAAGCCACTCCCTGTCCCACAGGTGGGTCATCCCACTGAAGACAAGTGGTAATACAGTTAGAAGTCCCAGACTGGAGCTGCCTGGAGCCTGATGGGGAAGAAGCTCCTGCACACTCCTGCAAGGTTTCAACAAAGGGTTCACTATCCCAGAACAAGAGGCACTGCTGCTTAGTTTCCTGAATGCCCACTGGAACATCATCAACAACTAACTGAAAGCAATTTTCACTTACTGTTTGTGATGGATTCAGTTGTAGCTCCAATTACAGTTGTTGTTGGCACTGACGCTTGCGATGGTGTTACTTGTGAAGTTGATGTCTTCATAGATTCTGTTACTGCAAGGAAGGCATTCACATCTTAATTGATCTATTTTATCATGCATAAACAAACATCACATACCTCCAGCTGCATTCTCTCACCAAGCAGTGAATTTCTGTTTTAAGTCTCACCCTTACAGAGTTTTCTTACCCATTTTTGAAGAGGATTCAAAGGGTATATGGTTGGTTTCAGAGGGGAGGTTTGGCCTGTGAACAATCTACAAGTTGCCTACTGAAAATTAGCAGCTGTATCTACCAGCCAGCTCCTAAAGGAGAGGTGCTTGATATGACTTCCAAGGGAAGAGGTGAGGGGAAAGGATCCTGGTGTAGATGGATGAGTTCACTGTGCTGGACTACACCTCTGACCAGCCCTTTGCTGCATACCTGTTTATAAGGAGGGGGGATGTAAAATCCCCATAAAGAATTGTGAGTGACACACGGGAACAGAGTTTATAGGTCCCAGGTAAAGAGCTGAAGGGGAAGAGACTCTACTAGTCTTTGTGCAATTTTCCCCTCCTCTCTCTGCCTGTCCGCCTTGAGCCACATTCAAGTCTTCATCATTGGCCAGCTTTCCTAGATCCTCTTCCTCTGCACCCAGATTTCTGGGGAAAAAGGGCACCCAGCAGACCTTCCTCTTTGGAGTGCAGCAAAGCTTAGGAGATTGTGCACGGTATGAATAATATTCTCTAGTAAGTGATATTCCCTGGGGTAACTCGGTGGCCTTTTTACGATGACATGACTAAGGCAATAGCAAGGTTTAAATCAGTGTCTCTTGCTGTGCACGGATGGCATACTGCAGGTCCCATGTGGCCCAGGCACTTGCTCAAGGGAACGGACTGACTAAAATACTGCCAGGGATTCTGGACTAAACAAAACTCTGTAACTAATAATTTTGAGAGTCCAGCTTTCAATTCTGTAATCTAATGCAAACAGAAAGTGCTACAGGTGCTCATTTAAATACCTACAACTACTACTTCTACCTACCTACTACCTCCTCTAGCACTTTTAACAGATGGGATACATGAAAGAATATGTAATGTAATTTTCTCTCATAGGACTTTAATATATCTAAATGTAATGTTCACACCAGAACTTTTAAAATACATCTTATAGTCTCTTTCTCTGCTCTCAGTTTTCTGGCTGTTCACCTAGAATAAGCAGTGCCTCAAAGAATGGACCTCCTTGCTCCACACTCACAAATTTCTTTAGTCTCACAGTGGGTTTCAGATGCGTTTCTCATGGGCATAAGTAACAATGCTGCTTTCCCTTCTGCGACAAAAAGCTGCAAGAGAAATTTCAGTGAAACATTCAAGGAGTTCATTCACTGTGAGGTGTTTGGCCTTTATGGAATGCCTTTTAAACAGACATGAACAGCATGGTATTTGAAACATAAAAGAGCTGCAACACAGTTTGAAAAGGACTAATTCTTCTGCTGTAATAAACATAACATTAGGCATACTTCACTTGGTTGTATCTTATTCACTTGCATTACTTGCATGTCAAGTGTATACTTCATAATCTCAGTGCTTTCAGCTCCACAGCAGACTCATTAGTATCTCTAGTTATCAAAAATCAGAATACCATGTTCGTGTTTTCTTCTCTCACATGCATCACTCATTAAAAGCAGCAGTCTTCAATATTGAGACTAATAAAGGAGTTGATATTTAGCTCACATGAATGAATCATGACCAATATTGATTTTTCATAACTTTCCATAACAAAGATGCACAATAAAGAAAACTGAATGTGTCAGTTAAAGACGTAAATCAGAATCCCAGACTTTTACTATCTGAAGCAGGTGTTTTCTCTGTTAGGTCTGCATCATTTTAGTACTTGAAAGTTTGATCTGGTTAAATCAATCCCCAAAAAAAGAGAGACCAAATGGAGCTTTTGAAATCGAGGGCATTGGTGCCATCCTCTTATCCTGAAATGTGAATCTTGACATCAACAGTTTCAAGAAGTTATCAGCAGCATTTCGGCAAATGACAGGTTCATGCAGATGTAATCTCGTCTATCAGCTGGCATGTATTGGGTATTTCTTTACTATCAAAGTCCACCTTCCTCTTTTGTCATTCTACATCCATCAAATCAGCTACTTCCTGCTGCCATATGTCTTAACTGATGCTGTTACCCAAATCATTCTCAATCTGATAACTTCTTGAACTGTCAGTCTTTGGTAATTTATTAATATCCAATCTCACTTGAACCACTCTTGAGCGTATAGGAACTCACAGAATTTCAATCTTTTTCACCAGAAACAAAAATGTAGCCCGTTCAAACCAACTGTCTCCATACTAAGATACTTCAATCCTTTCTTTGCAACAGTGTTTCATAATCACCCTACATGAAATAATTCACCTGATTTCTCTCTGAAGTTGGAAAAGCTGAAAACTAAAAAAACAGGGGCTTCAGAACACCAGATAAGGGTGAATTTGAACTCTTACCGGATTTTGATCCTGATGCAGAAATGGTTGAACTGAGAGTAGGGGTTGGAATGCCATCTTCTGAAATAAGCACAGAAAGAATCATATTAATTCTGCCACCTTCCAGATCTATTTAGCACTACATAGTCATATTAGCAGAGAGCAGCAAGACCCTTCCTGGAAAATCAAGTTCAGAAGCCTATCAGCAGAAGCAACTACATCACACAACTCTGCGAAAATCTTTTCATGCTGTATCCTAAATCTATTCATTTTGCCCTCACTGCTGTAATGTGGAGCATTTTCTACTGCCTCCCACCTTGGACTGCACATTGTTTTCCAACAGGTGTCTCCAAGACTAGTTTGAGGGGAAAAAATGGAGCTATTAAAAGTCTTTCTTTATCTCCTCCTCTCCTTGAGTACAACCACATCTGCTCTGAGTCTTCAGGATGGAGGATTAACTAAAATAACTGTCCACAGGAGAAAGCATCCATTCTCCTGCCTTGAAATAATAAAATTGTACTAGCTCCCTGGCTAGTATAAGCAGTTCAGGAAGTGTTTTCAACAACCCCTTGGTCCCTATATGTGAGAGAAAAAGGAGAATTCATAAAACATGGCTTGAGAAGCACCAGGTTGAGTAATGACTGGCTTTCCCCACTGCCCTGAAGGCAGTGCTTCAGCTATCGGGATTTTACTGCAGTAAATTATGCCAGTCTTAAAAATTCCAGGTCAAGTTAGTAGGTGGGTCTTTGATATTACAAAACAAACAAACCATCCAAAAAAGAGACCCCAACAAACAAAAAGCAAAATAATTTCTGTATTTTCTGACTGTACTGAAAGGTTGTTGGCTTCAAACAAGATTTTCAGTCTTGTTGGTTGGTTTGTCCATGATTTTCTACTGAAAGAAATTAGGGGGTGATGAAGGGGGTGAAAAAACTACATTGACTCAGAAGCAGTGACATTTCTCAACCATTTTACACTGCTGTGAGACAAGTGTGGGTACATTTGGGGAGGACTAGATCAACTCTGTAACTGAATGGGAGAGGAAAATGGCACAGGCTAATCCCCTAGTGCTTTCAGGTTTGAAGCGTGACATCCTGTCATGCTGCATTAGCATCCTGTAATACAGACATCGCAAAACTGAGTCAGGACAGCATGTCACTATTCTTCTGTGACTCTATTCATGGTAATATCTGCTGGCATTCTCTCTTTTTTTTGGCTACAGGGCAGAACAGTCAGTTGTGTTCCCTTTGCTCAGTGTGCTGCGCTCCGATTAACATTTCACGACCACCACCCAAGGCCTGCCAGAGTCACAGATCTAACCTGGAAAAAAATCCAGCATAATACAATTGCAGGAATATATTAAAGTCTAATCAGATGAGCCCTTACAACTCCGCTTCCAGCAGTGTATTTTCAGCCCTCTTGGCACCTGTGTGTTTCTAAGGGGTCTCAGCCTGTTCTCAGTGAGCCCCAGTTCCTTGAGTACTTTTCTAGGGATGCTGCTGCCTTCATAATGCCTCGTCACACTACATGCTGGGCCAGCTTGTTGTGAGCATGTCCTACACAAAGTTAAATGTCTCCCCTACGGGCCTGCTGCTGCCCCAGCTCTACTCCCCAGAACACATGGATACACTCTGACTGTGTACAGTCTCTTGCACACTCCATTTAAAATATAGATTTTCCTGCCATTTAGTTCCCCAGTCAGAATAATGCTTCATAACCCACACATGAAATACTTGGAAAAAAAAATTTATCCAAAGAGACCTAAAGGCAATCTTGTTTCCCTAAACATCAAGCATTTTTCCATCTCTTCATTCTCACTATGTGCTGCTGACAAAGCTCATCTAATCCTCCACACCACAAGGCCACAGCACTAGAACAGAATGTTTTTTCAACAGTGCCTACATTTCATATGGTTTTGTTTTAACATCTCTCAGTAGCTACCATATCTGTAACACCAGCTAAACGCACTAGCTGGCCAATTAGCTCATTCCTGAACTCATTTTTCTCAAAACTCTTCCCCTAACTCAGCATGACTTTCTGTGAAGCCCATTGAAATACTTAGATTATTCATCCTTTAAAGATGTTCCATTTAATAACCATGTTGATAGGCTGAGCTTTCCTCAAAACTAAAAAGAAAAGGGAATTTAAGGCACAGTTTTGTTATGACTCACTATTTGCTGATTTCATCACAGGTTAGAGATAAACTAAGGTAAATTCAATTGACAGAGTAAAATAAAGTAGAGTTTTATGAATTAATTTTTTTCTTAAAAAGGTGAATAATTAAATATGCTTCAAAAATAAGTTGAAAGCAACGTGCAAAAACAGGATTGTGGGGTGGAGAACTGGTTGATTAAAAGAAATGATAGAACTCGTGGCTTATTATGCTCTTATTTGCAATGTTAAGTTGTGACTAAGGAGAATCCTATGGAGGATAAAAGCAAGAGATCAAAAATGATCAAGAAAAGACTTTTCACCCAATAGAGACTGTTGTTAGACAAAGAGGGAGACAGAAAGCTTCATTTTTCTCCTTGTGTCAGGTTGCCTGCAGCCTCAGGTGATGGACAACTAAGTAAAGTTATAATTGCATGTTTTTTAGTAAATTTAGATGCAATGATCCCTTTGATATGAGAGTCCCTTGATCTACTCTGATGTGGGAGCAGCCAAAATCTATGCAGCAATTTCTCCCACACAGAAACTGCTGCCATTTGCTGTGCTCACTGGTAAGAAACTCAGCTAAAAGGGCATAGGTGACCTGTGATGTCTGGAGAACATGCAAGGAGCTAAAAGTTGCTCACATACCACATTGGGCTGATTAAAGGGATGATGGTGGTAGTGCTAAGATTGACAAAGAAAAAAGAACATGCCTTAGAGCAGATACCAAGGCAAGAAGAAATCAGAACTGGGAGAAAGATAACAGGATAGGAAGATGAGAGGGGAGGAGCAGAAAGGTCTAGAGACAGTAAGACAGTCAGGGTGGCAGGGAAAAATGAGAAGGATCTAAGAAGAGATCAAAGAACACTTGACACATGGTCATAAGACAAAACTGGAAAGAGAGTAACTGTTGTGGTTTTGTTGGTGTTTTTGGTGGTCCCTCCCTCCTCCCCCCCCAGGTTCACAGAATTTCCATTTATTGTTTTTCTGACTTGGATTTAAATAGTATATTTGCTCTAAAATGAAATCAACAGTACAGTCATTTGTATCTGGTCTTAAGATTTCCAAATGGACAAACTGAACCACTGAACTTACTATCTTCTTTTAAATTCAGAAGGAGTCTTTGAATTTAGACAGGGCTGACCAACAGCCACAGTTGTCCTCAAACTGCAGCTTTTGATGCAGGCTTCAGCCTCCAAGGTCTGAGCTTGGAGTTCTTATAATTCCTTACCTCTCTCTCTCATTATTTTTGCCTTTACACTGGGAAGACTAAGATAAGCGGGCTCTGACCTTGTGTTAATTAGGGGCCCGTTATTGCTATAATCAAGACAGAAAAAAAAGAAGAAATGACTGCATGATATTAAATCGGTAGTTCTGTTTATATCCTACAGGATACTACAGGGCACAAACCACAAAGTTTAAAACACCACATGAAACAGATAACACAAAACTGAATGCGAAAGCAAAAACATTTTTAAAGATTAATAGATTGTTCAAAGTAGATATGGATTATATTCATTACATGAATTACTGAATTTAAGTGCTGTCTGGTTTGGCATCAATATCTGATTTTGAAAAGACATTATTTTTATGGAAAACTCACTATAATTACAGAAATAGCAAGTGAAATGGCCTGTTCGGCATTTTTTCACTTGACCTTGCACTAGGTAGGCAAAAGCATTTCACTAAAATCCTTCTGTTCAGAAGGACCAAGCTACTTGGTCCAGCTTCAGAAGGGTTTTAAGAAGGGTGTGGATTCATGGAGGTGGGGAGTTTTTGGAGAACCATAAAAATCATCAGGAGCCTCGAGAAAAATAACTGCTCAGGAAGGACCGCAAAAATTGCATTTGTTTAGTTTAGAGACAGAAAGATTAATGGAAGGCACAACAACAGCAGTCAGCAGGTGAGGGGCTGCAGCAAAGACAAAGGACTATAATTATTATTATAACATCCACTGAGGATGAAATGAGAGGCAATGGACAAGGAAAATTTGAACTGTAAACTCTGCAGGTTTTTTGGTGCCTGTGTCAAGCTGTTGGTGTAACAGCCAAAAACTGGTATTTTAACCGTTTTGCTGATAAGGATGTAATACGTTCCCACTCAAAACCAGACCACTGCCCAACAGGCTGTAGCTAGGAGCAATTACCAAAAAGGTGTCCTGAAGAAACCTGTACATGTTAGTTCCCTGCTTCAAGGCTATAAAGCAGAATTTACAATTGGTGTTTTTATACCATGTTTGTTTACTGTGTATTATCATAGAATGGTTTGTTTTGGAAGGGACCTTAAAGACCATCTAGTTCCAACTTCCCTGCTGTTTGCATGGATGCCTTCCACTAAAACAGTTTGCTCAGAGCTCTATCCAGCCTGGCCTTGAACACTTCCAAGTATGAGACATCCACATCTTCTCTGGGCAAACTGTTCCAGTACCTCACCAGCCTCACAGGAAAGAATTTCTTCCTTATATCTAATTTAAACCTACTCCCTTTCAGGATGTTATATTATGGTTGGTTGTGTGACCCCGGGTCTTTGCAATGACATACAAGTCATGGAGAGGTCAAAACTGTGTTTTTGCTTTCTGTCTTACCATGCCATCAGAAATAAATAGTGATCTCTTTCCAGCAAATGGTAATTCTGCCAGCCCTTATGACCATGATAGAGCCTCCTGTAACAGCTGCTCCAGCAGTACCCATGTAAAGACTGTACAATTCATCGAATATTTTACCCTTTGTGGAAAAAGTTATAGCTGTCCTTGTAAGAAAATCTGGCACTAATCTTCTCAGAGTTCCCAAGAAATAGCTGCTGCCTGACAACGTGCACAGCCTGTTTACTCTTACCTTGGAGCTCTGTTGTCTACTATGTTTTCTCTTTCATTTTTATTTATTGCTGCTTCATCTCTTCATTCTCCTATCTGATCTTTCCCCAGGCCCAAT